GCTAAGGAAATTGCCAAAGTCATATCTGACCAATAAGTGGAAGAGCCACAATTTGAACTTGAGCAGACTTGCTTCGGAGCCCATGATCTTAACTGCTGCTTACACCATATCTGTAGAAAGAGTCTGTAGATGCAGTTTTAGGGTGTCACTGTGTGTCGCCCAGGCTGGAATGCAGAGGTGTGATCATGGCTCACTACAGCCTCCACCTCCTGGGCTCAAGTGATCCTGCTGCTTCAGCCTCCCAAGTAGCTGGGACTGCAGGCATGTACTACCACACCTGGCTGATTTTTTATTTTTATTTATTTATTTTTCTTGAGACAAGGTCTGGCTCTGTCACCTAGGCTGGAGTGCAGTGGTGCAATCTCTGCTCAATGCAACCTCTGCCTCCCAGGCTCAAGCCATCCTTTCAACCTTAGCCTGCCAAGTAGCTGCGACTGCTGGTGCACACCACCACACCCAGCTAGTTTTTGTATTTTTTGTAGATACAGGGTTTCGCCATGTCACCCAGGCTGGTCTCAAATTCTTGAGCTCAAACGATCTGCCCGCGTTGGCCTCTCAAAGTGCTGGGCTTACAGGCGTGAGCCACTGAGCCCGGCCTGATTTTTTATTTTTTGTAGAGACAGAGTCTCATTATGTTGCCCAGGCTGGTCTCAAACTCCTGGGCTCAAGCAGTCCTTCGCCTCAGCCTCCCAACGTACTGGGATTACAGGTGTGAGCCACCGTGCCTGTCCCCTTATACTGTTTTCTAATACTATGATTCCTTTCTAAACAAGAGTTGAATCCAGGTTAAATATGTACATGAGAAAATGAGGTAAGCATAAAAACAAGGAGCCAAGTCATATCAGGCAGTTGACACACAGGTTTAGTAGATGAACTGGAAAACTGTACTTTGTATAGCTTTATTTTTGTATTATTGTTGTGTATTATAGCTTAATAGTTACAAGCATGGGCTTAGAGTAAGACCTGGGTTCAAATTCTGGTTCATTGCTTACTACTTTTTTGCCCTTGTGTAGGTCACAGGTCAGCAAATGGAAGCTGCTGTTTTTTGGTGGTTTGGATAGCCTGTGGTGATGGCTGCATTTCTTTCTCTTTTCTTGATCAGGTGGATTTGTTTAAAAAGAGCCTTCTGTTGATTCCTATTCACCTGGAAGTCCACTGGTCTCTCATTACTGTGACACTCTCTAATCGAATTATTTCATTTTATGATTCCCAAGGCATTCATTTTAAGTTTTGTGTAGAGGTAAGTTAATATACTGCCTATTTTTTCGTTTATTTTATAATTGGCCAAATAGCATCTTAGCTCTAGATAGAACAGCAGCAGTCAAAACCATATAGGAACAGTTTATGTCATGAAAATCCTCTAAAATGTTAGCTGAGAAAAGGACTAGAAGAGGAATCTCTGGCTGAGGAGAGGATCTGTCTAGGATCCAGATCCCCCTCTGAGGTACTCCACTTGGATTTTCTCTGTTTTTCCCTTAAAACTACATCTTGAATGTGGTTAGAAATTGTTTTTCTTTGATCATCTTAAACCTAAAATTGGCTTGTATCTGCAAAATAACTCCTACAGAATAAACTATAACCCAACGGAATCAATTAACAAAGTATTAGTGTTTAGCTAATAAACAGTTCAACAAGATGGTGGGATACAAAATCAAGAAAAATGAGTAGGTTTCCGGATTTTCCTGCACTATCACGAACCAGTAAGAAAATGTAACTGGGAATAAGATTCCATTTATAAAAGAAACAAAACATAAATAACCCAGGAATATGCCCTAGGAAGAAATGTGGAAATTCTTTATGATGAAAACTCCTAAAGCTTTAGGTACTTAAAAGAAATCTTTACAAAACTGTAAAAGTATTTGAATGAAATATGGAGAATATTATGTTCACAGAGTGGGGAAGGACTTCTTACATGGAACCAAAGAAAAGACATAAGGAACAACTGGATAAATTTAACCACCTCATAATTTAAAACTTCTGTATATCATAAAGTTAAAAGACAAGCAACAGATTTGGAGAAAATATGTATGATGTAAATAACAGAAAATAATTATCCAGAATACATGGGAAACTCCTACAAATGAATAAGGGGAGGATAAAAGGACCTAATAGAAATGGACAAAGGGTAATTTAGTAAATTTTAGGAAAAATGCAAATAACTATTTAAAAACACATGGAGAGGTGTTCAGCCTCACCAGAAATAAAGGAAATCCAAATGAAAACTACACCAGTTACATTTTTTACCCATTGTGTTAGAAAAAGTGATGCTATTCAAGTGTCTACGTAAGGAAATAGGCGTTTGCATATTTTCTGGTGGAGTGTATAAATTGATACAGCCGCTTGGGGACAGCTGCAGTTCTCATCAGTTCCAAGTGTCAATTAAAAAGATGCACATTCTGTGGCATATCAGTTCCGTTTCTTGGTATCTACTCCATAACAATGCTTGTATCTGCAGACGAGGATGGGGCATGTGCTAGGGTGTTCATGGCAGCATTATTTATAATAGTGCTAAAGAAAACAACACAAATTTAGCTCTAGCAAGAGAATATAGCTAAATACACTATGGCACAGTATACCCATACTATTAAACTGACCATAGCAGTTAAATAGAATATACTAGACCTTCAAGTCCTCAAATGGAAAGATGTCCAAGGCGTAGAGCTTTAAAAAGCCAATTGTGGAATGATACGGTCTAGTACATTTATAGAAAAAAGTACATGTGTATGTATATATTATATACAAATACATGCAGATGTATGTGTAGGCACACATATATATATATATATATATATATATTTGTAAGTAAAAAGGTAGGATCTTACCATTTTTGATATCCATGATTATTACCTTTGGGTAAGTGTAGAAAAGCAAGACTAATAAAGGTGATTTGGCCTTATTTAGGATATTTTTAATTATAAGGAGAATATTTTGGCCTTATTTTGGGTTTTTTTGTTTTTTTACAAGGAGAATATTTTCTTGTATTATTTGTTTAATTAACATTTAATTTTAAAATTAAGTTTAATGCAACCTATGAGGAAAATCAAGTTTTCAAAATCACATTTTCATTTCCAAGAAATCCAGGAAAAAAATACCCCAAAAGGGAGAAGCCTCCTGGGCCCAGAGTTCTCACAATACCAGCTGTGAGCGTCTTTTCCCATTCCCTTCCCCTAATTCCTTGCCTTTCTCTCAACCAACATATTCCCATACCGGCCAGAGCCTGTCTATATTGTCTCTTTCCTAGACAGACCTGCAAAGATACAACCAAAAGTGCAGCCATATGAGTGCCTTTAAGAATCAGATTCTGACAGGCAGAGGAGAGCAGAGGTGGGAAAATTGTTTCATGTAGGAACTAGTTACTGTGCCTCTTGCTCTGTGCCAGGCACTGATGCGAGGAGTCAGGTAGGACCAGACAGACGTTCGCCTTCATGGAGTGAATGATGGTTAAACAGGATTTTGTTTGTAAAACATGTAGTTGGGTTCAAGTCGCTTCTGAACCATTAGGGTCTGGTTCTGCACAGTAATAAAAATTCATCTTCTGAATTTGTGCCCAAGCCCCTCCTGCAGAGTTCTTACCTTTTCAGCACAATTACAGTTGGCCTAACAATTTTGCATATTTGCAAAAAGACGCTAAGAACAGACTCCTTTTAGGTGATAACTAGAAGTAATTTGGAGCCAAGTCATCTGGGCAGGTGGGGTCAAGCTGTTTTTCGTTTTAAGAGGATGTAGGTAGGGGTTGTAGAAGTGGTGCTTAACTCAGTTAGGGGCCGATATCTCCAAAGAACTGACGAAAAGTGTTTGAAACAGCCACTACATAAATGTGTAGATTCCATGGCAGCAGAGACTGCACGAGCTTTATTCACCAGTGTCCCCAGCACTTGAACCATTATAGATGCTCAGTACATTTTGAGTGTAGGTGACCATTTTTAAGGACAAATCTTTTTTGCCTGTATTTTACTTAAGAATTTACATATACTGGGCAGGCAGGGTGGCTCACGCCTGTAATCCCAGCACTTTGGGAGGCCGAGGCGGGTGGATCACAAGGTCAAGAGATAGAGACCATCCTGGCCAACATGGTGAACCCCCGTCTCTATTAAAAACACAAAAATTAGCCGGGCGTGGTGGTGGGCACCTGTAGTCCCAGCTACTCGGGAGGCTGAGGCAGGAGAATGGTGTGAACCCGGGAGATGGAGGTTGCAGGGAGCTGAGATGGCACCACTGCACTCTAGCCTGGGTGACACAGCAAGACTCCATCTCAAAAAAAAAAAAAAAATTTTTACATGTACTGCTTATTCTGAGAACCTAAAGTTATTGTTTAGAGGGAGAAGAGCAACATGCGGTCAGACTTGGTTAAATATGAATTATTTGCTTTTATCATGTGTTTTCTTCTGACGAGGTGGCTTCTAGTCCACCTTTTTTTTTTTTTTTTTTTTTGAGTCAGAGTCTCACTTTGTCCCCCAGGCTGGAGTGCAGTGGCCCAGTCTTGGCTCATGGCAACTTCTGCCTCCTGGGTTCAAGCGATTCTTGTGTTGCAGCCTCTGGAGTAGCTGGGATTACAGGTGTGCACCACCATGCCTGGCTACTTTTTGTATTTTTAGTAGAAACGGGGTTTCGCTTTGTTGGCCAGGCTGGTCTTGAACTCCTGACCTCACATCATGTGATCCACCCGCCTCAGCCTCCCAAAGTGCTGGGATTATAGATGTGAACCGCCGCGTCTGGCCATGGTCCACTTTTGTTAGGGGTGGGTGGGGGGTGTTATTCACATAACCTCTGACTTCACTCTTGATGTGGAGAGAGACGCACAGAGGTTGAGAGTACTGGGGACATTTTGGAACTCCAGCAAGCTTCATCTTGGTAGATATTTCAACAGTAGACTTGACCATATTCAGTATTCAGAATGAATTTTAGTATAACTTTCCAGAAACTGAATGTTAACCTTTTCTGCAGCCCTCAAAAATAAGGAGTGTATCAGAATATCTAAGGCTGGAATGTTTTTCATTTAGTTTTAGTTGTTAATGATGTCTGCCATGGGTTCCTTTCCTCTGTGGAGCACTGGCAATGATAAAGACTTTCTTTTTGACTTGCCAGTATGTAAGTTTCAAATGCAGCAGCTGACTTACTGTTGGGAAGGGCTGGCTATAACCATCCCATAAAATGTTCTGATTAGACAAAGCCAGCATCCACAGTCTGGGTGCAAACTTGAATACAGGCGGTCTGACTCCCCCTTAACAATATGAAATGGAGAGTCTGAAATAAAATTCCAGCTTTAGCCAGGAGCAGTGGTGTACACCTGTAGTCCCAGCTACTTGGAAGGCTGAGGTAGGAGGATCTCTGGAGCCTGAGAGTTCAAGGCTGCAGTGAGCTCTGATCACCCCATTGCACTCCAGCCTGGGTGACGGAGCAAGATCCTCTCTCTTAAAAAAAAAAATTTGTTCCAGCTTCTTAATGCATACTCTGCCCAGCTATGGGGCCACAGCCTCCTCTTTTCCTTCTGTCTGCTATGGGCATGTCCCATTTTTCACCAACTGATGGAACACAGCATCTGTGTTGTGGTTTCTTTTTAACCAGAATATAAGAAAGTATTTGCTGACTGAAGCCAGAGAAAAAAATAGACCTGAATTTCTTCAGGGTTGGCAGACTGCTGTTACGAAGGTAAGTATGTGATAACAATGAAACCCAGGCATGTCCAGGGGATGGAATTATGTAAGGGTGGGTGCCTTTAAGAGTATTTGAAAACTGGTGACAGAGATACCAAGGAGATCCTGGAGGCTCCAGGGAGGCAGCTGAGAATAAACTTCAGTTTAGTATTCATCATCGCTGCTCAGTTGCCCAGTGCTTCCCGGGAGCAAATCACTTCAGTCACTTCCTCCCTGAGGCAGTTGCTAATGATGTGTTTGCTCTTCCGGGGGGAAAAAAAAACTTTTTTGGGTGGCACTTGCCTCTTGCATCATGGCTTATTTCCAGATGACCCGTATAGACCCAGAGGAATGCTGAAATGACTGTTTGGATCCACTGAGGGGGAGAAGGTGCACTGGGCTACTTGCCAGGCATGTGGGGAAGATAGCCCAGGCACTTCAGTCCCACCACCGTCTGGATGCAGCACCATGTTTGGCCCATGACATTCGAACTGTGAGGCAGAGTGCCCAGGCACAGCCGCTCATTCCTGTCGTAAATACCAGTGTCTTCCATTGATGGCGGGCTGTATTGTTTCCAGTGTTTTTGTGTATTAGATCTCATTTGATCCTTATAACCTGTGCGGTAGGCAGGTCATCTAGGGATAAACATCATCTTTATTTTGTAAATGAGAAAACTGAAGCCCAGGTGTGATTTTCCCCAAAGGACATCAAAACTATTGATATAGAGTCAGGTCCTTGAATGCAGGTCTGTCTGGATCATTGACACAATGTTATAGGCAGGATCTTGAAACAAACCTTTAACCCAAACCCAAAGAGACAAGATTTATTAGTTCATCCTTGAACCGAACCAAATGCTAAATTTTAAAATTAAGCTTAAGTTTTGTATTTTGAATAACCTAGTATACCAGGTGAAACCAGAACTAGTAAATTTCCTGAAATTACTCAACTAAAAAAATCTAGGTATTCTAAATTTAGTTAGGATCTTCCGTATCCCCACTTTGGGCAGAATACAGTAACCGGTTCTTTTAAAAACATACTGTTGGCCGGGCACAGTGGCTCATGCCTGTATTCCCAGCACTTTTGGGAGGCAAAGGTGGGTGGATTGCTTAAGTCTAGGAGTTCAAGACCAGCCTGGGCAACATGGTGAGACCTCATCTCTACAAATAATAAAATAATAAAATTAACCAGGTGTAGTCCCAGCTACTTGGGAAGCTGAGGTAGGAGGATTGCTTGAACTCAGGAGACTGAGACTGTGCCACTGCACTCCAGCCTGGGCGACAGAGTGAGACCCTGTCTCAAAAAAAAGCCCCATCACAACAACCATACTGTTTAGCTTCACAGTTTCTTTCAAAGAATAGGACAGGGTCGTGTGATGGGAGATCTAAAGCGAAGACTGCTCAGTGGCATTCTCACCATCCTGGCGTCCAGGGGCCGGGCCTGTGTTCCCAGCCACAATTCCATTTTGACTCCATTGTCAGTGAATTGATAGCAGAACCCAGTATCCAAATGCATGTTTTTAAAATAGGTTTTTACATTTGATTTCCCATTTCTCATATTTAGGTAGAACATTGTTCTCTAAGTTGTGGTTGTCACCTGATAGCTCTTTTTATGTGGCCAGGTGCCTCCATAACATTAGATGCTTGAGATACCAGAGGATATACCAGCTGTCCTGGAGAGAGAAAAGTTTCCTATCCTTTGCACATTTTTCCATAAAGGAGTTTTTCTTATCTGAAGAGGAGTAATTGATCTTATTTTAATGACTGTCTTGTTTTTCCCCTCAGTGTATTCCACAACAGAAAAATGACAGTGACTGTGGAGTCTTTGTGCTCCAGGTAAAGAAAGAATGCTTTTCAGAGTTTACACTGTGTGAACTGAGTTTGTGGGGTTGAGAGGGGAGAGAGGGCCGTTCCTGTGTGTGTATATGATGCTAGGTACGAGCCACAGAGTACTTACCTCCCCTTTGTTGCTGAGGAGCAGTAGTTTCTGCATTCTCAGATGTTATCATTAGGAAGAACCACCTTCCAGGGATCAAGAGTGAACTGTAGGTATCATCCATGCCTCATTGGAGGTTATCAGTAAGCCACATTGGAGACTGACTTGAATTTGTCCGTATCATAACCTTTGGCATTTGCAGAATTTTTAGAAAAGCCATTGGCAAGCAATCTGCAGGTCTGACACAGAGTGATTAGATTTTAAATAAGGGCCACATTGAAAAACTGCTGTCATCTCCTTAGAGGTCAAAAAGCGCTATGGGAAAAATTCAGTTATACATTATATTTGTGAAGGAAATTACAGAATATGATGCATGAATTTAGAGATTTGCAAAGATCTTGGAAAACAGGTTCATTTGTGTACCTCATGCATGTTTGGGGTTTTATAAACAAATTCTCGTTCCCACTTAAGGGCCATGATAGGTCTAGCTGCACTCGCAGCAGGTTGCACTTTGGGAGGAATTTAGGCCTTTTCATCAGTTGCTGCTTTTCAACAATACTGGGTCAGGAGGGAGAGGAGATCCCAAGCCATACGCTAGCTTGGTCGGTTGACTATAATTTGGGTAAATGCTTAAAACAGTGTGTTTTTACAACAGTTGAAACAGACATGAAAATGCTGCCTTAGATCGGGGTCCCCAACCGTCCACATTAGGTTCTCATGGGAGCGTGAACCGTTGGGAACTGCAGACGCGAGGGATCACCTGATAATTCATCCTGAAACCAACCCCCTCTCCCCCAAGTCTGTGGAAAAATTGCCTTACACGAAACCAGTCCCTGGTGCCAAAAAGGTTGGGGACTTCTGCCTTAGACACTATTAGGTCTGCATTTAGTAAAATAGAACGGGCTGGTACACAACTCCAAGTGCCACTGAAGTGTTTCTGGACCTTTGCAGTACTGCAAGTGCCTCGCCTTAGAGCAGCCTTTCCAGTTCTCACAAGAAGACATGCCCCGAGTGCGGAAGAGGATTTACAAGGAGCTGTGTGAGTGCCGGCTCATGGACTGAAACTCCGCAGGGACCCTGGGAAGTCTGACCAAGTTGGAGCAGATGGTTTGTTACTTGAATCTCCACTTAGTTGAATTTTTACAGATATTTCAGATCAGTGGTGTTGGGCCACTATTGTTACCTCAAATTTATTTTTTGCCCTTATTCATTTCTCCAGCTACCATGTACTATTGTTTAATGTTCAGTTTGGTTTCATTTTTAATTTTATGGTTCTGTGCGTCCCCCATATTTAATATTTATTATTCAAACGCATGCATATAGACAGAGCATGCAGTGAAGAGTATTAAAAAAAAAAGCTTAGTAGATTTGGTGCAGCTTTTGAAACTTAGTTAGACGTGAACTGAATACAGGTTTCAGATTTACTCCCAGAACCTAAAATGCAAGATGTTTTTGATACAGCATACGCTGAGAATAGTAAGTGTTCCCTGGGGCATTAAGGGTAGCTGGGGGTGGTTTTGACAAATCCAGTCCTGTTTTACTTTACCAGTGGCACCTTTCACCAACTTCCCTCTCCAAGTGAGTCTTAGAGAGTGCGGTCCATTCCTTTAGAAGGGTGAGATGAAAGTGGTTGTAAACTGACTGGTGTCTTCTGTTTCTGGAAGCACACTTGTAAGCACAGTGGCTGCTTTGGGAAGAGTAAGTGTGAGAAAAAGACAGCAACCTTGGAGGCCAGTAACAATGACAGATTTCAATTGTGGTTTCAAGAATTATAATACATGGCGTACATCTCATAAAGGCTTTTGCTGAAATTCCCTGAATTTTTCTGTTTTCGACCTGTTAAAAAAATCTTAACATCCATCAGACTAGTGGTCAGACAAATGAGAATGTAGCTGTTCTCGGAGTAATTTTTAAGTTGTCATTTCCCTGTGTTGCCTCCCAATTGGAAGAAGTTAAGGTTTACCAAATGCATTTCTATTTCAAGGGTATCTGAAATTTAAACATTCAAAACTGAAGGCCGACTGACTTTAGATGTTTTGCAGGTGGCTGGAGAGAAGAGGGAGGGTAATAGAGACAACTTAGCCCCATGGGAGCACAGCAACCGTGTCAGGTTCTTTCTCCAGTCCCTTTAGTGACCTCAGTAGCATGCAGGGCACATGTGGCTTCTGTGTGGCCAGTGCTGATGACACTAGCACGGTTGTTTTTCTCCTTCCATTGAACCTCATCTTCTGAAGAAAGGCCCAAGAGGCCCTTGTCCATACACTTAGCTGCGTTAGGATTAACATCACGCATCTTACATCTTTAATCCAGCCTTTCGTGACATACTGGAAAGATGTATGTTAAACCTACCCAGTGATCCTTTCAGAATCGGGAGGAAAAACAACCAACGTCGTTTTTTCAAACTCAGAAGTTTGAATAGAAAAACACCAAGTAAATGGCAGAAGATTCTCGAATTTATGCCTGCGTAGGTTTGTAGTGTTGAAAAAGCTAAAATGTTTAGTTTCACTTGGCCCTAAGGTATGGCTGAGAGAAGGCTGACTGCCAGCAGTTGAGGGTTGAGTCCGGCCGTGTTTACATGCAGGGTTCCCAAACACCAGTGGTGACACTGGGAAGCAGCCCCAGCACTTTCCTCTCCTGAGTCCTCCAGACTCAAAATCCTTAATGTCAAACCAGGTCAGTGTTTCTTACTGTGTTTCAAGTCGTTAAAAAGACTGAGAGTAGAGGCACTTTATGCTGCTATAGGTGGGGTTCTGTCAGCGTTAGGAAAAATGACAGTTTAGGGTAAGGAAGATCTCTTCATGAGTTTTTCAAACATAATTATGCAAACATGAGATTTTTCAAAACATATACCAGACATTTGCCTCTAATTTTTTTTTTTTTTCGTGGGGGTGCAGTATACCAAAGTAGCCAGCCAGCCAGTCACTGGGCCGTCAGTTCAGAATGTCTCGCACTTCAGAGTGAGGAGGTGTTTCAGTTCCTCTGACAGAACCTGGCAGGCAGGAGACACAGAATTGTTCCTGTGAGAAAACCAGTGCCCAGAGTGTGAGCTGCCCAAGCCCAGTGACTCTTTCACTTCCAGTCTAATGCTTCATAGGGCGCCTTGAGGCGTGCTGCCCAGTGTGGCTTAGACTAAACGTTGTTTTTTTTTTTTTTTTTTTTTTTTGAGTCAGGGTCTCGCTGTCCCTCAGGCCGGAGTGCAATGGCGCGATCTCAGCTCACTGCAACCTCCACCGCCCAGGTTCAAGCAATTCTGCTGCCTCAGCCTCCCAAGTAGCTGGGATTACAGGTGTACGCCACCGCACCCCACCAATTTTTGTATTTTTAGTAGAGACAGGGTTTCGCCATGTTGGTCAGGCCGGTCTTGAATTCCTGACTTCAAGTGATCTGCCCACCTGGGCCTCCCAAAGTGCTGGATTACAGGCGTGAGCCACCGCGCCTGGCCAATGTTGAGTATTTTAAAAGTCATTTTAAAATATTTGTCATCGATGAAACTTGCTTTCCCTCTCTTCTTGTAATTAGGTGTAAACCTCTATAACTCAAGTCCTAGATTAGAATGTCCTTTGTCCTGATGTTTGCAGTAATTGCTTCCTTGGTTAATAAAGATATTTTTGAAATATACTCTGGACTGTTGGTGAAAAGAGGCAGGCGTGGCTTCACTGGTACTAGTTTGGCACTGAACTGTTTGGGTGCCCGTGAGGTGGGCAGACCTTATGCTTTTTTTAAATTTTTGAGATGGAGTCTTGCTCTGTTGCCCAGGCTGGAGCACAGTGATGTGATCTCAGCTTACTGCAACCTCTGCCTCCAAGATTCAAGCGATTCTTCTGCCTCAGCCTCCCCAATAGCTGGGACTACAGGTGTGTCCTGTAATTTCTGTGTTTTTATTAGAGACTCGGCTACTTTTTGTATTTTTAGCAGAGATGGAGTTTTGCCATATTGGTCAGGCTGGTCTCGAACTCCTGACCTCAGGTGATCCACCAGCCTCTGCCTCACAAAGTGCTGGGATTACAGGCATAAGCCACCATGCCCGGCCTAGACCTTATGCTTTTGAGGTTGAGTGCAGGCCTTGTGCTAAGTGAAGTGCTACTTTTGATGAGCCTTCAACAAGTGGCCTAGTCCTCTCCTCAGCAAACTTACCAGGTTGTAGTTGCTTCTTTACAGTGGTCTTTCCTTTTATTGAATCTATAGCAGTGAATATAGATTTGATTCAACTTTTGGTTACGTTCTCTCAATCCTAATCAACTTTCATTTAGCCTCTTAAGAAAGGGAAAAGAAGGTGCTGTCAATCATCCCCAAATTATGTTTTTGGCTTTGCATTCTATTTTCTACATAGCACTGAATCTGAGTAACACAGTCATTCTGGATTTATAGTTGGAACAGAACAGTAACAGACCTAACTGGGACTCAGCCAGCACTAGCCTCATCTTAGCTGCCCCTTTTCTCTGCATTGCAGTTTACTGCTTCCCTGGGCTAGACGTAACTGGGGGTTCTGGGCAGGTCAGACTCTTCAGGCAAGACAGTGTATTAGTAGTGTGAATTCGATATACTGATTACCTGCTCTGCCTAGTTGAGAAACTGAATTAATCAGCAGTTACAAAGCATATACTTTGTTATGTGCTAGGCCTGGCCTATAGATAATTAAGACGGCCCGGGGAATACATCAGAGAAGTGCTAATTGTATTTGGGTGTTACAAAAGCAGACCTAGACAAGCTGTTCACTTAACTGGTACCTGTTGGGTCAGAAAAAGAATTTATTTAGAGATTATGATCATGTAAAATTACAGTACTCAACCCTTCTAGCAAAGTATTTTTTTGAAAAATAAACTAAATGCCTTTATAAACTTGTGTTCACTTGTGTTGAGTAATATGTACTGTCTGGTGAGGAGTATTTTTTTCTCGTGACATTCCAGTCATGACAGAGGTCATCTAGGAACAGTGAGCAGTGCAGGCTCTAACCAGCTTACCCTCTGAGCAGCAGCACCATCACCCGAAGTTTCTACAATGGAGATGTTCTGTATTTGCATCTTAGCTTGACTGAGAAACTGCATGTTTAATTCTCATACTTCACTCCCATGTATTAATAGTGATTCCCTCATCTGACTGTGCGACTGAATTTTCACTTTCTCTGGTGAAAGTGAGACACAAGTCAGATGTTCTCCATGAGAAATAGGAAAGAATGCAGGAGACTCACATTTAGTGTTCTCAAGCCCAAGAAACACAAGCTCCTCTTAATTCACCCCCACTTTCCCTTCCCTTGCAATCATCCAGAGCATGTTTTCTGGAAAACTAACCTATTCTTCCATCGGCAGAGGTTGCTTGGTGCCTATTTTATCACTTTCACAAGCACATCTGTGCTCTCTTCACATGCAGCCATAGTTATTTCCAGCTGTCAATCAGAATGCACACGCAGATTGTCCGCATTGTTCCTAGAATCCCCCAGAACTCATCCATGTGTATCCAGAGTACAGGAGTTCCGGAACACAACCCTCTTCACAGGGCAGGAAACGGCGGCAACAGCAATGCGTTCATCCAGCTTTATTGAGACCTATTACAGAAGACACTCCAAATAAAACCAGTCTCCTGTAGAAATCTGAGTTACGTTTTACTACAAAAGAATATCAAATACATTACATTACAGTGTGAAGGAATTTTAAAAATGAACAGTGTATCATTAAATGTTTGCAAAATTTCTTCCTAAGCACTTACAACTAGTTATATAGCTCTTTTAAAAATTCAGATTTCTACACTTAGTTTAACATGAAAGACATTTGCACTAAGGTACTTCAGCCCCAACTTTCACAGACTGTTGGAAGTTAGAAGGTACTTTGTTGCTAAGTGAAAAAAATTCATTTTTCCTATCAGGGAAAATTATACTAGACTTAACAGTTTTAAATGAGAATAACTCACATATATTAGAGAGAAATCACCTCTTGCCTTACAAATACCAAAGAAATTCCCTAGACTCCCCTTCTCTGTAGAACCATGAGCTCACTGTGAAGGCTTGAGCCTCAGAAGTACAATTTGAGGAAAAAAATGAGAAACGGCTAAAACAGGAATCTCCTGCAGGAACCTTCTGTGACTGTTAAACATTCCATCTTCAAGCTCCCTTTTTAAACCCAGTCCGTTCCCAACATCACTGAAAATGAAAAGAATAAACTCGGTGATACTCATGTCAAGGCAGTGTTTTCACTGTCTCGATATTTTACCCCATTTCTTACTGGCAACATCTCCCCTACCCCTGAAATTATTTACAGGTTCCCTCTATGGCAAACCCTTGCCCTTTTTTTAGCTTTAGGTGTAACACATCTTTTGAAAAACGTGTTAGTAAATACTCAAGCTTGGGGGTCATTTCCTGATGTGTGAAGCATGGAAGCAGTACTGTCCTGTGGAGATTGCTTTTGCACCAACTATATAGGAAGGTCCTTGGCCTCTAAGCTTGCCTTTAGAGGTTGGAATTCATAGAAAACAAATTCAGCTGTCAAACACCTGTTCCTAATTTTGTGCAAAGCAATACAACATAGCACAACTCCATTTGTTGTTTTTTGTTTTGCTTTGTAGAGAAGGGGTCTTGCTATGTTGCCCAGTCTAGTCTCAAACTCCTGGCTTCAAGCTGTCCTTCCTCCTCAGCCTCCCAAAGTGTTGGGATTACAGGTGTGAGCCACCATGCCTGGCCCCACCTCCATTTATTAGGCTATCTCATGCAAACTTAAAATAAAAAAAAAAATCCCAGGCCCCATGTAGATCATGAACCTACTTAAGACTCAATATAGTAAAAACAAATTTTTAAATGTTTCTGTCTTTCTAAAAGTGTAGTGGTTTGGGCTAAAGACTAACCAACATTACAGATCCAATCTGTTGTCAAAGAACACAATTTCTGACCGGGTAACAAAATAAATCTGATCATCTGACACATGGCCAAGATTCTCAGACAATAATTAAAGGCATTCTTTTGGATTCTGTCCTTTAATAACTTTCAGAGGCTTCCAGTTCAGTAAAGACACTGATCAAAGCTTGGTAAAAATGGGCTCGTTTGCAGACTTTTGGTGATGTTTTTCAATCAATTCAACAGGCCAAACGAGTGCTAGTCACTGACAAGAGTTCTCATCACTCACTGGTTCTGGGCCAGTTTTCCATAGCCTCCTCTTCCAGCGTCATAGTCCTGCCGATACTCATCCCGAACCTTTAACGGAAAGAATCCAGAGTTACAGTATGGAAGAGAATGGTGTGACATATATGCCTCCCATAAACACGTTAGAGAGTTACAGTATGGAAGAGAATGGTTAACATATATGCCTCCCACAAACACGTTAGACAAACAGTGAAACCTGTTCAGATGCCATAATGTGAACATTTCAAGCAGGACATATGCACTTCAACTCATTTCAGTGCATTCTGCTTTCATTCTAGATGTTCCTGCAGGTGGAATCTAGCCCCTAGCAGAAGTTCAAGAATGGTTGCTTATTAGAAACGTACAGGACTTACTATTTCAGGGTTTAAAAAATTCACCCAAACCGTTGGGTGGTTTTCAGATCCACTTCAAGCCAAGGTTATAGACACAAAGTTATTTACAAAAGAGTAAATACAAATTGCCAAAACACCTGTCATTGTGACTGGAATCCCAGGCAATGGGCTGAGCCCAGAGACCCTTCTCGCATACCTGGCCCCCAGATCGCCCACGGCCGTACTGCCTGCCCTCCTTAAAGCCTGCGTCCCAGTCTGTGCGAATGATTCGGTCATCCAGACGTGTTCCATTTATGTACCGCATGGCATTTTCGGCATCTGCACGTGAGTAATATCTTAAGTATTAAGGAACACTACCATTTTTCCAAAAATTTCTGGAAATAGGGGAACAACATGTAAATGAAGCTGCATTGTTAAAAAGTACAAGAGCTAATCTAATCAGATGTAGTTCAGAGACAGCAGTTCAGCTTGCATAGGCCTGTCTGCCATGGTTTGGAAGCACAGAGAGTCAAACATGACACGTCTCCATGGCTGCACTGATCAGATTTGTTGGACATTCCTGTTGATAATTTTTAGTCCCATCATCTCCGTATTTTGGTTTGCAAAATATGAGATAATTCAGTGCAGGTTTGGACCACTGTATACTTCTTATCCAAGAAACAAGTGCTATATATTCAAGTTAGGTGCCATATATCCCAGGGCACCTTAATAAAGAGAGGGTCACAGTGCATGTGGAACTGCGCTGCGTTTCATTAAAGGAAAGACTCAAGGTATCACCAGGGTAGCAGTCCCCAAACCTACTTCATCAGAGAGAGCTCCCTTTAATTAAAGGGGAGGACATTTAATCCCAGACAAATAAAAATAAGACAATGGTGTTCTGAATAAACTATCTGGAGGAACTAGTGTCTTTGATGTTAGCAGGCCAAAATAAAATCTCTTTTCATTGTAGCATTTGGGAAACCCACGTATCCCCAAGGCAAGCCAGCAATCTGGGAGAGATGCCCTGCCTGGGTCCAGTGAGTCAGCATTCTTTTCCTTAATTATGAGCAGAAATCCAGGGATCACCAGACACTTAAGGAAAAATTTCATCTGAAACAAATGTAATTCAGGGCACAGGAAAAAACTCAAAAGATACATTAGATTGGGTCTGCAAAATTTCTCAGAATACTAAACTGAATGACCAAAACATAGAGTAAAAAGAACATAGGATAAATCCAGGAGGTTCAATGCTTAAGAGACTCTAAGTAAGAAAATGATCACAAGTAAATACAGTTTTGGTTTGTACCTATGCAATCAGCTTATATACATCTATGTAATGAATTACGATATAGCTATTAAAACATTTTTTTCTTTAAAGATGGGGTCTTGCCCCATCACCCCGGCAGGAGCACAGTCACAACTCAGTGTGGCCTTGGACCCTTGGGCTCAACTGATCCTCCGGCCTCAGCCTCCTGAGTAGCTGGCACTACAAATACGAGCCACCATGCCCGGCTATGCGGCTGTTTTAAAAACAGACCTACATGTGCTGAAATGGAACAATAAATAAATAAATAAATGATTTTAAAAACAGCATATGAAGTACACTACTGCACACCCACAGGTTACTTCTTGAAAGATGCTCAAGAAACTGGTAACTGCCTCTGGCAAAGGGAATTGGGGCTTTAGAACACTACAAGGTTTTTATATTTTCACTGTGCTCTTTGGAATTTTTTTTTTTTAAATGAAGGGCAAACATTCTTGAAAAACTTTTTCTTAAACCACCATAAAGCATGGATTTCAGGAGAGAATGTAACTAGTGTCAGCTTTACAGGATAAGAGCAGTGACACTGGACAGAACGCAGGAGGGAGACGAGGGAAAACGCTGGGGCAAGTGCAGGGAGGTTTCTGAGCTACTCCTCTCAGCTCTGCCCCAGTTCAGCAGCCACATTCCATCCACAGGAAGGATACTCCACGAAACAGAATCCACACGCTGTTTTCTTCATTTTATCCAGACCCATAATGATTTTCTTTATGTCACCACTTTTGCTGAAGAGTTCGTAGATTTGTTCTTCAGTTGTGTAAAAAGAAAGATTTCCAACATATAACGTACAGCTTTTCTTCAGTAATTTTTCTTGTTCTTCATTGTCACCCTAGAATTTCAAAGAGAGACAAAAGTTAAGCAACTTCAGAGCCTTGCTTAAATAGTATTTCTAAGTATAGTAGAAACATTCATTAATTCTGATTTGGAAATCAAATTCTCTCATCCCAGCCTACCACAAATCCCTTGCTCAAAAAAAGGGAGATGTTCACATCCTGTGAAGCACTATGCAAAGTCCAGACTCTTAGTAGAGACAAGGCTCAAAAGTTATACCGCATATAGCAAAGTCACCCTACGCCAGACTGCCACACAAGCGGCTTTTTTCCCTGCACACGCCATATTCTCAGCAGTGCATCCTTTAAACCAAGGTTAAACTCTGGACCTTGACCCATGTATGACAAAGGGCCCTTTTATACTCTGTAGTGAGAAATACGTGGATTTTCAGAGAGAGTCCCCTTTTAATAACCCCATAGAGACTGTTCAAAGCAACAACTCTGATGCTTTGCATGCTCATGTATTTTTTCTGAATTTAGGAAAAAAATGTAGTGATCACTAACAACAAAACAGAGCTCACTTTCCTAATGGGCTTCCAAACTGGGATGACACGATGAAGCCAGAGATCAGAATATAACTGGGCTTCATCCAACACACCTGGCAAATCCCTGGATCCAAAATGGCTCATCAGGGTCGCGAACAGCGGCTCCCGCCTGGAATCCCAGCACTTTGGGAGGCCGAGGCGAGCGGATCACGAGGTCAGGAGATCGAGACCATCCTGGCTAACACGGTGAAACCCCGTCTCTACTAAAAAAAAAAAAATACAAAAATATTAGCCGGGCGTGGTGGCGGCACCTGTAGTCCCAGCTCGCCAGGAGAATGGCGTGAACCCGGGAGGCGGAGCTTGCAGTGAGCCGAGATCGTGCTACTGCACTCCAGCCTGGGCGACAGAGCCAGACTCCGTCTCAAAAAAAGTGCAAATCATGCCTGGCACTGAAGCACTGGACTGGCCGGGGTCAGTGGTTCACGTCTGTAATCCCAGCACTTTGGGAAGCCCGGGCTGGTGGATCGCTTGAGTCCCAGAGTTCGAGACCGGCCTGAGCAACACAGAGAGACCCTGTCTCTACAAAAAATTGGCCGGATGTAGTGCGCGAGCCTGTGGTCCCAGCTTCTCAGGAGGCTGAGGTGGGGAGGATCAGTTGGGCTCAGGAGGTTGAGGCTGCATAAGCCGTGATTGCGCCACTCCACTTCAGCCTAGGCAATAGAGCGAGATTCTGTCTCAAAAAAGAAAATAAATTGACCGAATAAATTTTTTTTTTTTTTTAGTAGGAATCTCGCTCTGTTGCCCAGGCTGGAGTGCGGTGGCGCGATCTTGGCTCACCGCAACCTCCACTTTCTGGGATCAAGCAATTCTCCTGCCTCAGCCTTCCGAGTAGCTGGGACTACAGGCGCCGCCACCACGCCCGGCTAATTTTTGTATTTTTAGTAGGGATGGGGTTTCACCATCTTGGCCAGTCTGGTCTCGAACTCCTAACCTCGTGATCCACCCGCCTCAGCCTCCCAAAGTGCTGGGATTACAGGCGTGAGCCACCGTGCCCGGCCTTGACTGAATAAATTTAAGAGCTTCCCTAATTTGGCGTCAAAGTTTCCTTTTCCCTACTCTAGTAACACATTTCACACGTTCTCCACACTGACCTCTGCTATATGCGCCCCTTCATTTCCCAGTCACAAGGGGGATTTCCCCCCTTTTTCTGAATTCTCACAGCCTCTCTTTTAACTCACTTCTACCTTAGATTCTTTGATAATCCACACTACAGGGGACTATGAGCTCGCAGAGTGCAGAAACTGTCTTCCCTTCCCCCCAGGGTTTAGCACAAGGCTTTGGCGACAGCACTCAACAAATGTCTACTAAATAACTGGGTTAATGAGTCCCGCGCCGCCACCCCCCAACCGTATTCCATCCCTACCTTTGCTGATACTGAAAAGCCTACTTTGTGTATCTGCGGCCTCCCCTTTTTCCAAAAAACATACTGTGATATAGTCCGGACTAAAAATTTCTCTCTTCTGAAATCCAGCAATTCTCCGATCTTCACATCCAAACACCCTCAAAGTGCCCAGCTTGGCGGGTCCCCCTCCCCACTCCGAAGCCTCCCCGAGGGCGGAGTGAGGACTTCACTTGTGTCTCCCACGCACCGCGTACAGCTTCCGTAAGACCATCCTCCCAGAGAACGGCACTGCTTCGCCGATTTAAAAAACAACGTAAAAAGCCCCGAATCTGCATCAAGAAGGCGCCTCTGCACACTCTGGGAGAGAGAAGGGCACCCCGCCCTTGTTACGCAGCGATCTGCGAGGTACACCTGGAAACGGGAGCCGCCACTACCATCAGCGCTCAAGCCTCTCGGCACCGGCTCGGGTGCAGGGAGCGGCTGGAGGGAACAGGAAAGCGAGCCTCAAATGCCCTGTCTTCCAGAGCAAGCGGCTTCAGTGATGTCCAAGCGCCCCCCCAACACCCGCTCCCTGCCTCCCCAGCCGGCACCGGGGCCCCACTTGGCGTTTGGGGATTGCAGCAGAATGGGAGGCGACACAATGAGACAAGAGCAAACCGTTTCTCAGCGTTCTGGCCCAGGGCCTTCCCCTCTCGCGGCCCGGCCTCCCTCACCCGGAAGTGCTGGTCCCGGTACTGGCTCAGCTCCACGTAGGAGTCGCTGCGCAGCGCCTTCAGGAGGCCACCCGACATAGCGCAGAGAAGCGGACGAGGACGCGGCGACTGCCGGCACGAGGTGCCGTCTGCCGTGGCGGAAGCGGAAACGCGCGGAAGCGCGCATCTCATTGGACCCAATCCGAGGGCGGCAGTGTCGTCATCAAGCTGCGCGGGCGCAGATGACGTCCGGGTCGGGCGCCCCCGGGCGGAAGACTAGGGCGGCGAGGTCGGATTCCCGGGCGCTTGGAGAAGATGGTGCTTCGGCGGCTGCTGGCGGCCCTGCTGCACAGCCCGCAGCTGGTGGAACGTCTGTCCGAGTCGCGGCCTATCCGACGTGCGGCGCAGCTCACGGCCTTCGCTCTGCTGCAGGCCCAGCTGCGGGGCCAGGACGCGGCCCGCCGCCTGCAGGACCTCGCGGCTGGCCCCGCAGGCTCCCTGTGCCGCCGCGCTGGGCGATTCAGAGACACCTTCACCCAGGAGCTACGCCGCGGCCTCCGTGGCCGTTCGGGGCCACCACCAGGTAGCCAGAGGGGCCCTGGCGCAAACATTTAAGCCTGGGCTGTGCGGGGCCGAGGCCTTTACTTTGCCTTCCGGGCTCTACACTGGCCTCGACGTGGAGGGGTCGTTCCGGGCACTGCGCGCGGCTTCGAACCCCGACTCGGATTGTTGGCCTGCAGACATCCCACGCAGAAGAGCCTAGGCCAGACCGCAGGCTCCGCTGAAGTCGTGTGATTGGACAAGACACGGTGTGGAGAAAGACCCCGAAGCCTAACAGAGATGAAGATAGGCTGGGTCCAGACACCGCACCTGCGGAGAGCCACGGACCGAAGCCAGAGAGCCTTTCCTCTGCAGATGGAACTGAAACTCTTGACAGATGCTGCTGAATCTGCACTGGTGTAGCAGGACACTTAATTCCAGGGACGATGTGAATGAAAAGACAACCCTACAACTGCCAGATTCCTTTGATTAAAAAAATGTATGAGCTGGTTAATAGGCATGAGTGTGATACTTCTCAGGCAAGATATATTAAGAATACCGGGGACTGTAGGCCTATGGCAATAATAAACACGTTATTTTATGAAATGAGTATTTTGTGCTGGGACTTGCTCATTGCACTCTGCGTGTTATCTCGCTTACTCCTTACAACCACATCTGCATGAGCAAGCAGATTACTTTTTGGATTTTTTTGTAGAGTTGGGGTGGTCTCAAACTCTTGGGTCCGAGTGATCGTCCTGCCTCAGCCTCCCAAAATGCTGGGATTATAGGCAAGAGCCACTCAGATGGAAACAGGCTGCTGCTTAAGTTGCCCAGAGTCTTGCAGCGTGGGATGTGAGCAGAGGCATTTGATTCCAGGGCCTAAGTCCTTAACGCAGCTCTGCAACATTCACCCTGATACTTTCCTTCCTTCCCCAACCCCCCATCATCAGGCATTAAGACTCCTGCCTAGGAGCAGGCGTGGTGGCCGTTGTGTCTAATCCCAGCCACTGCAGAGGAAGGAGGATCACATGAGCCTGAGATGAGACCAGCCTGGGCAGCATAGCGAGAACCTGTCTCAAAAATAAAAAAAGACTGCTGCCTGCCTTGGAACGAGCTACCTGGACTCATCCCTCATTTTAGAGGGTCAGGCATACGAAACTAAGACTATGGTCCAGCTAGTTAGTGGACCCATGATTAGGAAATCCATTGTATATACAAATGTCCTGTCATTTGAAGCTCCTAGCTAAATTTCTTATTTATTTATTTATTTTGAGACAGGGCCTCACTCTTGCCCAGGCTGGAGTGCAGTGGCATGATACTAGCTGTCACTGCAACCTCGACCTGTTGGGCCAAGTGATGGAACTTCCTCCCTGGGTTTCCCAAGTAGCTGGGATTACAGGCCCATGACACTATGCGCAGCTAATTATAAACAGGTTTTTTTTTGTTTGTTTTTGAGACAGAGTCTTACTTTGTCACCAGGCTGGAGTGCAGTGGCGTGATCTCGGCTCACTGCAACCTCCACCTCCCGGGTTCAAGTGATTCCCCTGCCTCATACTCCCGAGCAGCTGGGACTACAGATGTGTGCCACCATGCCTGGCTAGTTTTTTGTATTTTAGTAGAAATGGAGCTTCACCATGTTGGTCAGGATGGTCTTGATCTCCTGACCTTGTGATCTGCCTGCCTCAGCCTCCCAAAGTGCTGGGATTACAGGCATGAGCCACCGTGCCCAGCCACAATTTTGTTTTGTGTTTTTTGGTTGAAGGCTGGTCCTGAACGCCTGGTCTCAAGCAGTTCTCCTGCTTCTGCCTCCCAAAGTGCTGGGATTACTGGTGTGAGCCACCACACCCGGATCTGATCATTTCTAATTAGGCAACACAGATAATCATGCAATCTAGAAGCTTGAAGCCATCGGAAAAATTGAGGCTGGTAACCAGACACTAGCTGAGCATGGTGTGTTCCCTGCTCTCTGGGGCAGGATGGGAGGGCTTGAGACCCACAGTTCTTCTAAGGAGGGAGAACGTCTGGTTCCCTAATCTGGGAGAATGACTTTTTTTTTTTTTCCCCCCAAGACCGTCTTGCTGTGTCTCCCAGGCGGGAGTGCAGTGGCGCGATCTCGGCTCACTGCAACCTCCGCCTCCTGGGTTCAAGCAATTCTGCCTCAGCCTCCTGAGCAGCTGGGATTACAGGTGCCCGCTACCACACCCAGCTAATTTTTGTATTTTTAGTAGAGATGGGGTTTCACCATGTTGGTCAGGCTGGTCTCAACTCCTGACCTTGAGATCTGCCTGCCTTGGCCTCTCAAAGTACTGGGATTACAGGTGTGAGCCACCGCGCCCAGTCAGGAGAATGACTCTTAAGGACAAGGTGCAGAAATGGCTGGAGAGTTTCCCACCACTTCTCAGGAACAGGAGTAAAAGAAAGTAGGGAGAAAATCTCCAGGTGCAATTATATATTTCAAACATTACTTGTTTGCACAATAACCAAACACTGAGACAGCAGGCATCAGAGGGCCATGAAGTACAACACAACTCCCACTTCCATGCTTAAAGAGCTTTGTGAGAGCTGTGCCTGTCAAGGCAGGGGACGTGTACTGTGGATTCCAGGAATGGCACGATGTTAGCTGGCAGACACCTCAAACATCCTCTGATCCCAACAGACTGGGAAGTGGGGTGGGAGAGTGGAAGGGGCTTTCTCAAGATCACACAGCGAGGGGGTGACAGACCAAGGGGCTAGAAGTTGGGTCCCCTGGATCTGGGCCACCTGTTCTCTATACTTCATCACACTGACTTCCACATTATTTGGATAGGCAGATGGGTCTCAGGAAGCCAGAGGTTGTCATGACAGCAAGGGCAAGGCATCATGGGAAGTTTGGGAGAGGTCGCTGGGGAATGTCACTGGCAGTTCATTCTTTTTCCCAACCAGGTACTATTATATATTTCAAACATCACAGTGGCTGGAAGCAGTAGGGCAGGAACCGACAGGTGTCATCACTTACACCTGGTTCTTTGGGGACCTTGACATCGAGACTGACAGGTCAGATCTTTGGTCTCAGGGAGAGGAGTGCCAGCTCACCCAGAAGGCAGAACAGCTAACAGCCGTGCCCAGGAGAGGCAGCAGTGGGAGTCGTGAAGGAGAACCTGGGCCCTGTCCCCGCGTCCCAGCCCAGCTACCCAAGTAGAAGGTGGGGCAGCAACTTCTATGGCTGAATCGTGGGCGGTGGGTGCCCTGTCATATTGTCAGGTTTCTTCCCCCAACTCCACGATGTGAAGACTGAGGTGGTCCCTCCAAGCCCCACTCAGCAAGGATGACAGGGCTGGTGGATCCTCCAGGGTTAGATGGGGAAATACAAGTGTTTCATTCTTGAAGGGGAAGCTGCACTTCTCCACGGCACCCCTGGTGGTACCAGGGGTCACCACAAAGAGGCGGCAGAGCCATGGCCCACCAGCCACTTGGCAGGCTGGTTGTCTGGTAAAGCTTTTCAGGGCTTGGCACAGGATCCAGTCCTCAGTCCCACCCATGTCCACCACCTCCACGGGTGCCCCCAGGCCTGGCAGGCGGAGGAGGTGCCGGGGGGGCATGTAGGTGTGAGTGAAGAGGAGTGTGTAGTGGGTGGGTGCGCTTGGGAGCACAGGGGCATGGACCACCTGCTCCAGGTACTCCAGGCCAGGTACTAGGCCCCCCTGATGCAGGCAGCCGAAGAAGAAGGCACCGAGGGCATTGAAGAGGACCACGGTGCCCTTCCAAGGCACAGGTTGGGTCTGTGGACTACAAAGCAGGACTACGGGGACCAGGAGGGGAATCAGGAACCGAGCCTCCTGGTGGCTAAAGGCAGACAGCAGGGCTAGGGGCATGAAGTAGAGGAGAAGGAGATAGGACCTGGGGCTGGACAGCAGGCTCCGGGCACCCAGTGCCCTCAGGAGGCCCATTTGTAAAGAGGCCTGGAGGCCAGCTTGCAGCTGTTGCCACGCGGCCTGCAGGGCCTGGGCATGCAGCACCCCAAAGAGCAGGAAGCCGTTGACTGCCAGGTGAGTGAGCCGCACATGCGTGCCATGCCTGGCCAGGTTTTGGGGATTCAGGTTGTAGTGCAAGAAGTTGACAGGTGTAAGGACAAGGGTCCTGGATGTAGCAGGGCTGGAGAAATACCAGCTGTCCATGGCCACAAACACCACTGCTGTGAGGGCCGCCCCAGGGAGCAGCACCAGGGCCTCCCGGGTCAGGGACTTCAAGCCAGGGTTTGTGGCTCCACGAGTGCCCCAGAGGTAGAGAGGGACCACAGCGAAGGCCAGAAAGGTGGGCCGGTTGAAGAAGCCAGCAGTCACGATGCCTCCAAGAAGCCAGCTGTGCCACCATGGACCCGGCACAGGCTCCCTGCATGTAGGGCCCCACATTACATGGGGGGATACCAGCACCAGCAGCCACGCGAAGAGGAGTCCCTCAATGGTGTTGGAGAAGGTCCTTGTGTAGAAGACCAGGGTGACGTAGGAACCAGAGAGCAGGGCCAGGGCATTCCAGCGATCCGCCCCCAACAGTGGGGCCAGGTGGTACACAACCCCGTCCAGAGCGAAGGAAAGGGCAGCGAGGAGGAGCCGCGGCCCCACCAGCAGCGCATAGCTACTCACCAGGCCAGGCCACGGCCCCAGCTCTCCCCAGAGCCTGAGCAGCCAGAAGGTAGAGCCGGAGGTCAGCAGGGGGAAGACCACTGTGCGGCAGGGGCTGCTGGGGTAAAACTCCCAGGGCCGGGTGGCCTGCACGCCCAGGATGTCCTCTGCAGAGAAGGAGAGGCAGAGCTGAGCCAGTACCAAGCTCAGGGATGTAGTGGGCAAAATCCTAGGATGGCACCCAGCATTTCCACCCCTTGGTGTGTGTGCCCTGCATAATCCTGGGACTGTGCCCTGGATGGATTTTTCCCTCCCTCCCTGCCTTCCCTCCCTTCCCTTCCCTCCCTCTCTCCCTCCTTCCTTCCCTTCCCTTCTTTCCCTTCCCCTCCCTTCTTTCCCTTCCCATTCCTTCCTTTCCCGTCCTTCCCTTCCTTCCCTTCCCGTTCCTTCCCGTTCCTTCCTGTTCCTTCCTTTCCCTTCCTCCCTTCCTTGCTGGGTCTCTGTCACCCAGGCTGGAGTGCAGTGGCGAGATCATTGCTCTTGCTGTGTTACTGAGGCTGATCTCAGACTCCTGACTTCAAGCGATTCTTCCACCTCAGCCTCTTATGGTGCTGGGATTACAGGTTTGAGCCACTGCACCTGGCCCCCAGGATGGAATGTACTCCTGTGATTAGGTTATGACATACAGGAGCACTGACTGTAAAACAGGGAGACTATGCGGTGGGCCGACCTAATCACGACAATATTTTAATAACAGAGTTTTCATCAGCTGGATGCAGAAGGGGCAGTCAGATTCAAAGTATAAGAAGGATTTGACATGCCACTGCCGGCTTAAAGATGGAAGAGGCCATTGGCTAGGAATGTGGGTAGCCTCTGTAAGCTAAGAGCAAGGAAACCGCACCATAGGTTCCACAGCCGAAATGAGCTAGATTCTGCTAGGATTAGACAGCTTCCAGACAAGAACTCAGCCCAGTCCATACGCTGATGTCCACCTTGTGAGCAGAGAGCCCATGCCGCACTTCTGATCGTGAACTCACGAATGGGTGCAGTTTTAAGCTGCTGGGATTTTGATGATTTGTCACGCAGCAGCAGAAATGAGTGCAGGGGAGCTCAGAGGGCAGAGGGCAGGAGGTACCTCCCTGGGAGATGAGGCGGCTGTGTGTCCTGGGAAGAGCGTGTGGGAGGCGGGCAGGTGGGGGGAGGCCTAACCTCTTCTCAGGGTTCCAAGATCTCAAAAATCAGAGTCAGAGCCCCATCTCTGATGATTGTTATCAGGAGATGGGGGGAGAGAAGAGGGGGAGGGGCTGAGCCATTGGGGTTATGTCAGAGGTGATTTATGTGTAGTCTTATGATACTTAATTTTTTTTTTTTTTTTTTTTTTTTTTAAGAGTCTCACTCTGTCGCCCAAGCTGGAGTGCAGTGGCGCTATCTCGGCTCACTGCAACCTCCACGTCCTGGGTTTAAGCGATTCTCCTGCCTCAGCCTCCTGAGTAGCTGGAATTACAGGCGCCTGTCACTGCACCCGGATGATTTTTGTATTTTCAGTAGAGATGGGGTTTCACCATGTTGGCTAGCCTGGTCTCCAACCCCTGACCTCAAATGATCCACCCGCCTCAGCCTCCTAAAGTGCTGGGATTACAGGCCTGAGCCACTGTGCCCTGACTATGATACTTAAATTTTTTATAAGAAGAATATATCCAAGTAGTACTTACATAATTTAAGAAATACTTGCTGCCTGGTCTGTAACCTGTGCCAGAGCTCTGAGGGTGGGGGTGAGGGGGAGCTCCACATCAGAGCTCTGAGGGTGGGGGGTGAGGGGGCAGCTCCACTCCAAGCCTCGTTGTTCACAGCGTCTCCTGCTTGATCACCTGCTGGCTGTTTCGAGCTGATTATACAGCCTGGGGATCATTCAGGTTCTTTGGTTCTGCTACTTATTTCTCCAGCCTTTCAGCTGTTTTATCTGTCTATGTTAGATGGTGAAAGGGAGGCAAAATCCAGGATCAAATCTATCTGGGTGTTTTTCTGGTTAAAAAAAAAACATGTGAGGGAAAGAAGATAAGCCTTTTAACTAAAAAACAAATTCACCTGTTGAGCCCTGTGGCAAAGAAAGCTGGTGCCTCCAAAATACCTATTCCCTCCTCCTTCCTTAGACTCTTTTTTGAGATGGAGTTTCACTCTGTTGCCCAGGCTGGAGTGCAATGGCACAATCTCAGCTCACTGCAACCTCCGCCTCCTGAGTTCAAGCGATTCTCCTGCCTCAGCCTCCCAAGTAGCTGGGATTACAGGCACCTGCCACCATGCCCAGCTAATTTCTTGTATTTTTAATAGAGATGGGGTTTTATCATGTTGGCCATACTGGTCTCAAACTCCTGACCTCAGGTGATCCGCCTGCCTCGGCCTCCCACAGTGCTGGGATTACCAGCGAGAGCCTCTGCTTCTGACCTCAGGTGATCCCCCTGCCTCGGCCTCCCACAGTGCTGGGATTACCAGCGAGAGCCTCCGGAGGCCACAGTGCTGGGATTACAGGCGAAAGCCTCCGCATCCGACCCCTTTGGCTCTTTAGCTGGGTGCTTGCTCAGACAGAAAGACTATAATTTTTAGCGTCCTTAGCAGCTAGGTGTGGTCTCATGATACATTCTGCCCAGTGCGATAGAAATGGGCAAACAGCATGTGACCTTCAAAATATGACCTTAAAGAAAGAAGGAATGCCTTCTCCTTTGTTGGCGGAAAGACTGCATGTAGACGTGATGGCTGGAGCTCAAGCAGCCGTCTTGAACCATGAGGATGAAGCCACATGCCCATCACATCTGAAAAGCCTCAAGGCCTTTGGGTGAGATGGCACGGGCAAGGCAACTATCCTCAACTACACCACCTAACAGGCAACTGTGTGTCCCAGGTCCGGGTTCCCTCACCCCTCACTTGAATCTACAGAAGTTTCATCATCTCAGATCACAGCCCTATGGAAGCTCTTGCCAAACACTGGGGAAGCCCAGCTGTAAAAGTGTTCCACTGGGAAGCCCAACACAGCTCCCATTCCCACCAACACAGCTCTCATTCTCACCAACACAGCTCTCATTCTCACTGTACAGCTCTCATTCCACCTGCCCCAGTCTCATTCTCACCAACACAGCTCTCATTCTTTCCTGGCACAGCTCTCACATTCACACCAACACAGCTCTCATTCCTCACCGACACAGCTCTCATTCTCTGCTGACAGCTCCGTTCCATAGCAACCTGTTCTCACCAACACAGCTCTCATTCTCACCATAGCTCTCATTCCCACCAACACAGCTCTCATTCTCACCAACACAGCTGTCATTCTCCCTGCCGACACAGCTCTCATTCTCACCAACAACAGCTCTCTCATTCTCACCAACTGACTCTCATTTCTACTTAACACAGCTCTCATTCTCACCAACACAGCTCTCATTCCCACCAACACAGCTCCCATTCTCACCAACAACACAGCTCCCATTCTCACCAACACAGCTCCCATTATCACCAACAACACAGCTCCCATTATCACCAACAACACAGCTCTCATTCTCACCTTTTGGCTCTCATTCTCACCAATTCCACCAACAACACAGCTCTCATTCTCACCAACACAGCTCTCATTCTCACCAACAACACAGCTCTCATTCTCACCAACACAGCTCTCATTCTCACCAATGACACAGCTCTCATTCTCACCAACACAGCTCTCATTCTCTCTCATTCTCAATAACCTGTATGGTTTGTCCAAGCAGGCATACGTTAAAGAGACTGGTGGTTTCTTAGCATCACCCAGATGGTCAGTGTCACCACTCGGGAAGGAGATATGAAGTCCCCACGTCCAAGTTCTTACCCCAGAGAGACAGGCTGCTGCGCTGCTTGTGGATTTACTACTTATCTGCACAGACACACTACTCCCTCCCCGCAAAGTCTCCCGTCAGCTTCCCAACCAGACTCTGCTGCAACTTGTCTCAGCAACACGTGTGGAGTTTTACCTGCCATCACCTCAGGTGACTGGAAGAACTCATCTGGGTGCACATAGCCCGTCTGCGGAAGGAGACACCACAGCACTCGGAGCAGGCCGAGGCCACCCCAAAGCACCCTGACTGCCATCTTCAGATCCAGTTGTTGCCAACACACCGGGCCCAAAACCTGGAATGATGTCCCAGCTGCTACAGATGCCACGCTGGATCCACAGATCTGCATCTGTTGAGGAAAACACTTGTTGGTTATCACGATGTAAATTACAATATACCCAACTGTCTGAACAAACTAAAAATGGATCTATCATTTAATAAAAATGACAATAATAACAATAGCTACTTTATACTAAATGCCCACTGACTGCCAGGCACTTGACATGCATATTTCATTGAATCCTTTCCACAGCCTGGGGCAGTGGGTCTCGGTATCCTTGTTTTACAGATGGGAACGGAGGCCTCTGGTGAGTAACTCGATTACTTGCTGACCATATTTGCTAAGGAGTCTGTACCCAGATAGCTGCTAGAACGTTATTTCTAGCAGTGTCTAGAAGGGTATTTCAGGAAGAGATTAGCCTTTGTTTGTCTTTTTTGGTTTGTTTGTTTGTTTTGAGATGAAGTCTTGCTCTGTCACCCAGGCTGGAGTGCAGTGGCTCACTGCAACCTCCACCTCCTGGGTCCAAGTGATTCTCTGCCTCAGCCTCCTGAGGACCTGGGATTATAGGCAGGTGCCACCACGCCCGGCTAATTTTTGTATTTTTAGTAGAGATGGGGTTTCACCATGTTGGTCAGACTGGTCTCGAACTCCTGACCTCATGATCTGCCCACTTTGGCCTCCCAAAGTCCTGGGATTACAGGCGTGAGCCACTGCGCCCGGCTGAGATTAACCTTTGAATTGACAGACTAAGTGAAGAAGATCAGCTGCACCAGCGTGGTGGGCATGATCCAACCCACTGAGGGTCTGAATAAAACAAACACGTGGAGGACAGGTGAATCTGCGTTCTCTTCAGCTGGAACAGCCGTCTTCTCCTGCCCTCAGACAACAGTGCTCCTGGTTTGTGGGCCTTCAGACTCTGTGTCTCACACCAGTGCCCCACAGCCCACCTCCCCGAATCAGGTTCTCGGGCAGTCAGACTAGGCCTGGGAGTTACACTGCAGGCTCCTCTGTTTCTAAGGCTCCCGACCCGGACTGAATTAAATCACCAGGTTTCCTGGTTCTCCAGCTTGCAGGTGTCAGACTGTGGGACTTCACCAGCCCCCATAATTGCATGACCCAATTTTCATAGTAAATGATACAGCCAATTCCCTATTATTTCTGTTTCTCTGGAGAACCCTGACTTATACAGGGTCTAAATATGACATTTGCTCAATGTGATATTTGCAAGAAGGACTAGGGTGCCCAACAAATCTGGGTATTGCCGTCCCATCCTGATCACCAGCTCCTACCCACTTTCCTGACAGGGGACAGAAGCAGTAGCTCCGTTGGTCAGTTTTGCAGTGTTCTAGGAGTCATTCCTGGGGATTTAGCCTACAGCTTGATCACTCAGCACTTCCAAAGGTTTTGTAAGCAGCTAATTCCCTATATTAACTCCTTTTTGCATAAAACACTTAGTTGTTTGCAAACAACAACAACAAAAACAATGCAAGCTGGCTTCAACAGTTCATCATGTTGCCGGGCATGGTGGTGCACCCCTGTAGTCCCGGCTACTTGGGAGGCAGAGGCAGGAGGACTGCTTGACCCCAGGAGTTGAAGGTCAGCCTGGCAACATAGCAAGACCCCCATCTCTTAAAAGAAAAAGCAGGAAACAATTCATCATGTCACATAAAAAAGCAGCCAGGCTTGGTACTGCCAGGGTCCCTTGCCGCTTCTCAGGTCAGCCTTGATGCTGCCTTTCTCTCTGTGTGGACATAATCCTCAGTTCCAGCCATCCCATCCAGACATGCCAACACTGAGAAGTGTCTGTATTTTTGAGGCTGTCTCTTTTTAAAACAGGTTTATTGAAATATAATTAATACACCATGCAACTCATTTAAAGTGTACAATTCAGTGGTTTTTGGTATATTCGTAGGCAGGTACAACCATCACCACAGTCAATTTTAGAAATTTTCATCACTCAAGAAGAACCCCATATCCTTTAATTCTGTCAATTTTAGTTCATTTGTGAAGCTATATTATTATATTTGTAGAAGTTTATAATTGTTATGCCTTATTGGAAAATTGAATATCTTATCATTATATAGTTATCTTTTAATCTCTAGTTCTGTTTTGTCCTAAAATGTATTTTGCCTGATATTAATTTGCTATACACACTTTTTGGAAATTCAGTATTTACCTGGTACATCATTTCCCACCCTTTTCGTTTCTTTCTATTATTTTTATTATTTTTTCCAGATAGTCTTGCTCTGTTGCCCAGGCTGGAGTGCAGTGGTGTGATCTTGGCTCACTGCAACCTCTGCCTCCTGGGTTCAAGAGATTCTCCTGCCTCAGCCTCCCAAGTAGCTGGGACTACAGGCGCCTGTCACCATGGCTCCCTAATTTTTGTATTTTTAGGAGAGACAGGGTTTTGCCATGTTGGCCATGCTGGTCTCGAACTCCTGACCTCAGATGATCTGCCCACCTTGGCCTCCCAAAATGCTAGAATTACAGATGTGAACCACTGCACCTGGCCAATTTAGTGTTATTATTGATACATTTATTTCTACCATCTTATTTTGTGCTCACTTTTCTTGTTTTTTTAATTTTTTTTGTCCTTTTTTGCCTTCTTTTGGAATAATTTTTCTTCTCTTTTCCCTCTAACAGTTTGAAAGTTACATATACTCAGTTTCCAATATGCTATAAAATGCCATATATTATTTAATATTTTAGTAGTTAGCATACTATGTTATGTGTCTTCACTATGATGATTCTGGGTGCACATTTCTTTTTATTTATTACAGTTGAAAATGTTTTGGCTTCTCAAACCTGTGGATTAGGACCCTTTGTCATTTATAGAAAGTAGTCCATTAGACTGTGTGCTGCTGATAAAGACACACCCGAAACTGGGCAATTTATAAAGAAAAAGAGGTTTAATGGACTCACAGTTCCACGTGGCTGGGGAGGCCTCACGATCATGGTGGAAGGCAAAGGCACGTCTTACATGGCAGCAGGCAAAAAGCAAATGAGAAGCAAACGAATGAGAAGCAAGCAAAGGGGGTTTCTGCTTATAAAACCATCAGATCTTGTGAGACGTATTCACTATCATGAGAAGAGTAGGAGGGAAACCACCACCATAATTCAATCAACCTCCACCAGGTCCCTCCCACAACACATGGGAATTATGGGAGCTGTAATTCCAGATGAGATTTGAGTGAAGACACAGCCAAACCATATCGTAGACCTTCTCAGTCTATCTTCCATGTCTCTTTAAGTTCTATTTCATATTTTCCATATCTTTAGCTCTCTTGGCTATATGTCGGGTAAGTTCTGTTCTATCGTCCATGTCTCTAATCATTTCAGCTGTATCTAGATGTTAAACCTGTCTCGAGTTTTAAATTTCAGTTGTTATATTTTTCATTTCTACAAGTTGTTTGTGTTTTTCCACATCTGCTTGCTCTTTTATGATATTTCAAGACTCTTTTATTTATTAAATGATACCAAACATACTTGTTGGATATACTAGGTTTGATAACTCCAGCATCTAAAGTCTGGGTCTGAATCCGCTGTCTTGTTTCTGCTGGATCTCACTCATAGTGCCCTGTTTATTTGTATATTTAGTGAATTATTTTATTTAGGGGCTGCTCATTTTCTTTGGAATATTACTGTGGGAATTCTTTGAGGTCAGGGATGAAGGCAAATTTCTGAGTTCCACTTGAAAGGATTTACACTTGCTTCTTTCAGGTAACTGTGGGCATTACAAGCCTAGGACCATTTCTAATCAAATTTTTGGCTCCAGGTTCGTGTGTGTGTGTGTGTGTGTGTTTGCTTATCTTTTAGGAAGGGGAATAGTGCCTGGTCATGTAAATTCATGAGGGCAGGCTTATGATTACAAATTCTGAAAGGAGATATCCCACCCCCAGCTCAATTTGATTAGCATCAGGATCCAACAAGGGCAGTTTTCCTTTCAGTCCCGTAGGGATGGAATAATTTTTTTCTTTCATTTTTTTTTTTTTTTTTCCAGGATGGAGTCTTGCTCTGTCGCCCAGGCTAGAGTGCAGTGGCGCGATCTTGGCTCACTGCAACCTCTGCCTTCCGGGTTCAAGCAATTCTCCTGCCTCAGCCTCCCGAGTAGCTGGGATTACAGGCAGTTACCACCACGCCTGGCTAATTTTGTATTTTTAGTAGAGACGGGGTTTCACCATGTTGGCCAGGCTGGTCTCAAACTCCTGAGCCACCTCGAACTCTTGAGGCGTGAGCCACCGTGCCTGGCCAAATTTATTTCTTAGGCCACCCTTATGTTGGAACATGGCCCTCTAGAGTCACAGTTTGGGGGGAGTCTCCTGTTAGGCTTCCCTCTTGGCGGGCAGTAGGCTTTATCTTCCGTCCTGCTAGTCCCGAGAAGCAGGACCAAGTTCTGAAAACCTAATTTGCATAACCCAACTTTGAGGGTATCTACCAAAATAGTTTTTTGTTTCCCAGCCTTTACAGTACAGTAAGACACCCTAAAAGGAGATAGGAATAGTGGAAGGGGTCCCTGCTGTCAAATGGCAAGCAATGTAGGGGCCTGAAGTGGCCAGTGGTTTGCATAATGCGGAAGCCAAGGAGGCTCTCAAATTCACAGTTTTGTATGTGTCCTCAAGTCCAAATCTGGCTCCTGCGCTTCGCATACTTCTCTAAGTCCCTGTCTTCATGCCCAAGTATTACTTACGTTTTATTAGGCTTACATACTATCTTATCCAGCATTTTAGTTATTTTCAGCACTTTATTCTTTTTATAATTCAAGGACAACTTTCCACTTGTGTCCTGTTTAACAACCTTTATTTTTTTTTTCTAGTCATAAACATAATACAAGATTGTTGTAGAAAAAGTAAAAAGTGCAATAAGCCAAAAGGGGAAAACAGAAATTACATGCAGTTCCTATCACTCAAGAAAACACTGTTAGGCCAGGGGCGGGGGCTTACGCCTGTAATCCCAGCACTGTGGGAGGCAGATCTTCAGAAAATTATAAAGAATATATATCAGGCAGAAGGAATAATGGTTCCAGATACAAGATCTGAGACGGAAGTAGGAATAAAGAGTAAAGAAGTTGGTCATTAAATGAGAGACATCTGGAAGGTGGAAGTCAAATCAATACCATCGTCCTGCCGCTTTGACTGTTTTCTTCTAGCAAGTAAGGTATAGGAGATGGATACAGTTTCTGAAGTAGTATTCCATGTTTATTCACTGGCTTCGTTGGGTACTGTTGACAGGTGGCTGTGGTGCTTTGGCAATGGCTTTCCAACCCTGAGTCATAAATAAAGTGCTGTGTTCTTGAATGTAATAGTTCCAGTGTTGGTCTCCTGAGTCCCCACTTTCCTGACAGGGGACAGAAGCAGTAGCTCCGCTGGTCAGTTTTGCAGTCATTCCTGGGGATTCAGCCTACAGCTTGATCACTCAGCACTTCCAAAGGTTTTGTAAGCAGCTAATTCCCTATATTAACTCCTTTTTGCATAAAACACTTAGTTGTTTGCAAACAACAACAACAAAAACAATGCAAGCTGGCTTCAACAGTTCATCATGTTGCCAGGCGTGGCGGTGCATCCCTGTAGTCCCAGCTACTTGGGAGGCAGAGGCAGGAGGACTGCTTGACCCCAGGAGTTGAAGGTCAGCCTGGCAACATAGCAAGATCCCCATCTCTTAAAAGAAAAAGCAGGAAACAATTCATCATGTCACATAAAAAAGCAGCCAGGCTTGGTACTGCCAGAGTCCCTTGCCGCTTCTCAGGTCAGCCTTGATGCTGCCTTTCTCTCTGTGTGGACATAATCCTCAGTTCCAGCCATCCCATCCAGACATGCCAACACTGAGAAGTGTCTGTATTTTTGAGGCTGTCTCTTTTTAAAACAGGTTTATTGAAATATAATTAATACACCATGCAACTCATTTAAAGTGTACAATTCAGTGGTTTTTGGTATATTCGTAGGCAGGTGCAACCATCACCACAGTCAATTCTAGAAATTTTCATCACTCAAGAAGAACCCCATATCCTTTATTTATCACCTCCCATCCTCATCCACCACCCCAGACTCTGGAAACCACTAATGTCTCTATAGAGTTCTGTCTCTATAGAACTCTGTCTCTATAGAGTTCCCTATCTGAACTTCCATATGAATGAAATCATAAGCTCTGTGTGGGGAAAAGAGAGATCAGACTGTTACTGTGTCTACGTAGAAAAAGGAAGACATAAGAAACTGCATTTTGATCTGTACTAAGAAAAATTATTCAGCTTTGAAATGCTGTTAATCTGTAACCGTAACCCCAACCCTGTGCTCACAGAAACATGTGCTGTATTGACTCAAGGTTTAATGGATTTAGGGCTGTGCAGGATGTGCTTTGTTAAAAATGTGTCTGCAGGCAGTATGCTTGGTAAAAGTCATCACCATTCTCCATTCTCGATTAACCAGGGACACAATGCGCTGCGGAAAGCCACAGGGACCTCTGCCCGAGAAAGCCTGGGTATTGTCCAGGTTTCCCCCGACTGAGACAGCCTGAGATATGGCCTTGTGGGAAGGGAAAGACTTTACAGTCCCCCAGCCCGACACCCATAAAGGGTCTGTGCTGAGGAGGATTAGTGCAAGAGGAAGGCCTCTTTACAGTTGAGATAAGAGGAAAGCTTCTGTCTCCTGCTCATCCCTGGGAATGGAATGTCTTGGTGTAAAACCCGATCGTACATTCTATTTACTGTTAGGAGAAAACCACCCTATGGCTGGAGATGAGACATGCTGGTGGCAATACTGCTCTTTACTGCACTAAGGTGTTTACGTAAAGTTAAACATCAATCTAGCCTACGTGCACATCTGGGCACAGCACCTTTCCTTAAACTTATTTATGACACAGAGTCTTTGGTTCACATGTTTTCCTGCTGACCCTCTCCCCACCATTACCCTATACACCAGCCACATCCCCCTCGCCGAGATAGTAGAGCTAGTGATCAATCAAGAATGAGGGAACTCAGAGACCAGTGCCGGTGCAGGTCTCACTTGCTGAGCGCCAGTCCCCTGGGCCCACTTTTCTTCCTCTATACTTTGTCTCTGTGTCTTATTTCTTTTCTCAGTCTCTTGTCTCTACCTTGCGATAAATACCCACAGGTGTGGAGGGGCAGGCCCCCTTCAGTCTGTAGGCCTTTGTGGCTGGCTTCTTTCACTTAGCAGAATGTTTTCATGGTTCATCCGTGTTGTAGCAGGTATCAGTACGTCCTTACTTTTTATGGCCAAGTGCTATCCCATTGTGTGGATATACCACATTTTGTGTGTCCATTCATCTATTGATGAACCTCTGAGTTGTTTCATGTTTTGGCTATATTGTAAACAGTGTTACTATAAACTTTTGTGCACAAGTTTATTCGTGGACATATGTCTTCATTTCTCTTGGTATATATCTAGGAGTAAAGTCCCTGTATCCTGTGGTAACTCTATGTTTAATCACTTGGGGAAACTTCCAGGTTGTTTTCCAAAGTGGCTGTATCATTTTACATTCCTACCAGAAATGTGTGACGTTCTGACCAACACTTGTTATCTGACTTTTGGATTCCAGCCATCTCAGTGGGTGTGAAGTGGTATCTCATTGTGGTTTTGATTTGCACCTGCATTTCTTTTTAAGATCAAGGAAATCTTTTCCAGAAGTTCCCCAGCAGACTTTCTATCAAGTGCGAACAGAACTGCATCAAGTACACGTTCCCAAACCAGTCACTGGCAAGGGAAATGAGATTACTGATGAAGACTCACCTCCTGGCTTGGAGCTGGGACTGTGGGAGCTTACCCTGACAACAGGTTCCGTCAGGAAGGAGGAAGGAGGCAGAGGATCAGCTGTGTGGCTGCTACACGTGGCTTCCACGGGCTCTCACAGCTTTCCTCCTCCTCTGGCCATTTGTTCTTAGACTCCTTTTCCTGTGTCCACCCCTTAAATGTCAATGCTCCTGGTCTTCAATGTCCTCCATGTATACTCTTTTTGGATCATCTCATTGATTCTCATGGTTTCCATTTCTACTTGATGCCTTCTGAAATTGCTTCTTTTATGAGCTTCAGATTTACTGATAATAATAAGGGATAGTATAACAATAATAACAGCACTACCATTTTTTAATTTTTTTGAGATGGAGTCTTGCTTATTGCCCAGGCTAGGTGCAGTGGCACAATCTCGGCTCACTGCAACATTTGTCTCCCAGGTTCAAGCAATTCTTCTGCCTCAGCCTCCTGAGTAGCTGGGACTACAGGCATGTGCCACCATGCCTGGATAATTTTTGTATTTTGAGTAGAGATGGGGTTTCACCATTTTGGCCAGGCTGGTCTCAAACTCCTACCTCATGATCTGCCTGCCTCGGCCTCCCAAGGTGCTGGGATTATAGGCATAAGCCATTGCACCCAGTCTAGCACTGCCATTTATTAGATACATATTACCTTCCAGGCTCTGTACCTTATCTTATTTAAGTATCACAATAAGTCTATAACCCTATCCTTTTTTTTTTTTTTTTTTTTTTAAAGACAAGGTCTCACTCTATCACCCAGGCTGGAGTGCAGTGGTGTGATCTCAGCTCACTGCAACCTCTGCCTCCCAGGCTTTAGCAATCCTCCCACCTCAGCCTCTATAAACCTATTTTTATCCCTGTCATACAGACAAATGAACAGGCTTTTTGCAAAAGGTAATGGAACTAGTAAGTTGGTGAAGCTGGAAGTTGGACCCAGTCTGCTTGACTCCAGTGCCCTGCTCCACTGCCTGTTAGGCTTCTGTACCTACTTCAAACACAGGGCAGCCCAACAGAACTCATCACCTTCCCTGGAACAAGCCCTGCCCCCATGCTCCCTGCAGCAATGAGGGAACTACCATGTATTAGTGTCCCAAACTCCTGGTACCAATTTACTGCATTAATCCCTTCTCACACTGCTCTAAAGATCCGCCCAAGACTGGGTGATTTCTAAATAAAGAGGTTTAATTGACTCCCATTCTACATTGCTGGGGAGGTTTCAGGAAACTGACAGTCATAGTGGAGGGGAAGCAGGCACCTTCTTCACAAGGTGGCAGGAGAGAGTGTGAGTGGAGGAAACGGCGGATGCTTATGTAACCATCAGATCTCAGGAGAACTCCCTCATTATCATGAGAACAGCATGGGAGAAACTGCCCCGTGATCTGATCCCTTCCCACCAGGTCTCTCCTACAACACTTGGGGATTACAATTCAAGATGAGATTGGGGCGGGGACACAAAGCCTAACCAGTCATACCATTTGCCCAATTTAGTCCAGAATCCCATGGACTATCTCCCTCCTCCGTTGTCCCTTCGCTATGTAATGCAAACGCTGCTTGCTAATTATCCCTTGAACCCAGTTCTTGTTCCTCATTCTCCACTGTCATTATCTGAGTCCAGGTATGCTGTGACTGGTGTATATGTGCCTGGGATTTCTCAGCCTTAGGGGTGGCTGGCTGTGCAGAATCTTCAGATGGCTGGAGCCCCTGGGTTTGTTGTTTCCATCTGCAAGCAGCCCCCTCCTTTGTTAACCAGTGTGTCATACAATAGCAGTCATTTTCGTGTATGAATAATGAGGGAGATGTTAAGAAGCATGACCTGGAGTAGACTGCACCGCCACCCGCCTCTCCACTTTCCCTCTCACTGCATCCTTCCTCCTGACTGCGGCAGAGAGGCTGAATCGCTCCCCTGTGAGAAACTACTGGGTGGGGGGCCATCCCCTCACCACCCTCAGGACCAGGTCCACATTCCTTACTGTGGCTGACAAGGCCCCCCACGGCATCCAGTGTTCCCTTCCCATCTCCACTCATGTGTCTGTGAGTAGCATTCGGTGCTCCAGAAACATCACACCTTTTTGCAGCCTTCTCTATTCTGTGCTGTTTCTCACCCCAATTTCTTGGCTCACATGGTTTCACTTGCTTAATATGCTAACAACATGGAGGTTAAGACTGGCGGTGGCATCAAGTAACCTGGTTCAAGTCCTTGCTCTGTCACTTGTTCATGGTGAAAGCACTCAATCTCTCTGAACCCCAGTTTATACCTCAGCTGTAAACCAGTGCCTATCTCAGGGCTGCTGTGAAGATGAAATGAAGAAAATACGCAGATGTAAGTGGTTGCTTTCTTTATCCATTTTGCTTAACTGCCCTAACCCCCAAGAAGCCTTCCCTAACCCTCCCTCTGAAGGACCCTATGCAAAACTCTGCAGGCGCCAGCACTGACAGTTGTCTGATTATTTCCCTGCCCTGCTTGGCTGAGGTCTCCCAGGCATGGAATCCCTTTGAGATTCATCTCAGGCCCTCGAGTCCAGCCTGGGCGGGCCCACTACGGTCTATCTGTCAAGGTCAGAGCAGGAGGTCTTCCGGAGGTGGTGGCAACATACTGGGCCATCCACCATAACAATAACAAACACGGAAGCTCTAGGGAATACCCGCCCGCTGGAGGCTCTCCAGTCTGAGACCCCACTGGAGGAGCTTTCCATGTGGCTACCTCTCGCCTTTTATCTCAGGGGGCGGAGCCAACGCCAAGCGTGGCAATGACTCACCTTAACCTAATCAGGATGCAGCCTGCTGATTCATTCATTCATTCATCCATTCATTCATTCAGAGGGATCTATCAGGGTGCAGGTCAGGCGCGGGTCCAAATCCTGCATCTCCAGCGGCCTCCTGGGGGTCGGTCCTCGGGAGGGCTCGTAAGTGGAAGGCTTTAGAATGAAGGGACAGGGCCGAGTCTTGGACTGTGGGGAAAGAGGAGAGAAGGTTGACAACCACGCGGACAGGGGCATTCCGCGCGCGTGAGAGAATGTGTAGGGCAAGCACAAGGAGAGACCATCTCGGAGACAGGGGAACAGCCAAGCAGAAACCACTGTGCTGGGCGCGGGGGGGAGGCCGGGAAAGACAGCACATCTGTGGGGCGGGAGGAGAGGAGGGGAGGGAAGGGAGTAGAAACGCTGCTCCTGCCAGCCGCGGGTGATGGGGACACGTGTCCAGCTCGCTGAGTCCGAGGGCCTGGGCCCGCTTTTGGTACCTCAAGTTTCTCCGGCGCCCAGCTGTGTGCGCAGAACCGTGTCTGCTCCAGGCACAGCGGTGAACGAGCACCGTCCGGAATGGCAGAGCCATCGCGTGTGGCTCATTCCAAGAAAGGTGCCTACCTTCATATAGAAACTTCCTAACAAAGCTGCTGGGTCACGGCTTACGGGAGAGGGCGGCGGGCCCAAGGTTCGGCCCCTTTCTCTGAATCTGGCATTTGGAGCAGGCTTTAAGACTTCGGGAAAAGCCGGGCCCCTGTGCAACCATCAAAGGCTGCTTCTCCCGCCCTCAGGGCTAAGATCTTGTTCCAGTCCTCCAGTCCTCGGGGTCTACTCCAGGGGTACAAGGTGAGAGTGGCTCTCCAGAGTACATTTGCCTTTTGGTGCTGCATTGCATCCTCACTTTGACCCTGAGGGCTGCGGTAAGCCCTGCAGGGTGCTCCACCTTCAAGCATGGGAAGATCTGATGCTGGCCGCCTTCTTCCTCCGGTTGCCTGAAAGGGCCCATGTTTCTCCTTTGCTTCACAGAGAACGCAAGACACAACATTAAACACACATAAAGAGAGTGAAAGAGAGCAAGGCATCTTCATGAAGGAGGGCGCACCATTTAACAATCTGCGACCTTGCAGTGCGCCTCTGCAAAGTGGGGACTCCGCTCTGTAGCAGGAGATGGGGGTGTTAAGGATTTTGAAAGTGGTTCCCAGTTTTCCGAGGCAAAGATGTCTGGGGCTGACGAATGACTTTTGAGAAGGAATGATGAGAAATGTCCTCATTACAGAATTTTCCTCGTCACACTGTGAGTCCCAGGCAAAGGCCCCCTGACCACCAACCAGAGCGCTGGGTGCTCCCTGGCAGAGTCGCGTTGCCTTGTCCGCGCCCCCACGCCAGCCCTGGGCCAGGAGGCCATCCTCTCATCCTGGGAGTGCTGGCCTGGCCCGAAGTGCAACCTCCAAGGCCAGGAGCCGAGATTCTTCTCGGCTTCGGGCTCAGCGCTTTGCAGCGTCGCGCGGTTTCTGCTGCTCGCCCTGTTCCTGTTTCATGCCTGGGGGGACTAAGACCCAGTGCGGTTATGGGCCTCCCTGAGAACACCCGCCGCTAGCAGAAGCGGATTCAACCCCAGGCCTCAACCTGGGCCCAGACCCTGCTCTGGACTGGAGTTTACCCACGGCTGCCCTTCCTGGGCAAATGTCACCGCTGCCCCCGTCCCCCTAGGTCCGGGGAGGGTCAGGGCTCCGAGCCAGCGGATCCCGGCCTAGGGACAGGTGCCCGCGAGAACGTGGGGGCGGCCCCCAGCTCCCCTGCCCGCCTCCCTAGAGGCTGGGCCTGCTGGTTTCCCGGCTGCGCGCAAGGTGGGAACGGAGCCGACTGCGGTCCGCGCGCCCTCCCCACACCCGCTGCTCTGGGGCCGCTGGGGCTGCGCACCGACTCACCCGCGCGGCCTCCGGGCTGCGCCTGCAGCGCTGGCGGCGTCCTGCCCGGCGGGGGCCAGGGTCCCAGGCGGCCCCGGAGGCGGCGGGACCGAAGGGCGGAGGCGAGGCCGTGGGAGCGGCCGGGGGCGCCTCAGCCGCGCGGAGACTGGGGCCACCGTCGCCCGCACCCGGCCGGCCGGGAGGGAGGAGCAGCGCGGGCGGGGCCCCGTGTACGTCCCCGCGCTCCCGCCCGGCCTGGCCCCGCGGTCCCGGGGCGAGCTGGGGCCACGCTGGGGAGGGTCCCGGGGGCGCCGCTGTCCCTCGGGCCGGGCAACGCCAGGGGGGGACGGCTCCCTCCCCGGCTTCCGCTCCTCGGCGAGCCGCGCCTGGGAACAGCCTTTCAGCGCCAGGGGCTCCTACACCAAAACCCAGGCCACACTTCTCTGGTTCGGGGTTCTCCGTGGCGGGGAGCTCCGCCGCCGCCGCCCCGCTTCCACGCGCGGACCAGGAGTGCGGCCCACGGCCCTGCTTCGTGGCCCGAAACGCCTCAAAATGGAGTCACTCATGACAAGTGACTGGGCGCACAGGGAGGCTGCCGAGCCCCGCAGTGGTCGGCGGGTGTGGGGTGTCCCCAGGCCTGACAGGAGAGTGAAGTCGCGAGGAGGCTGAGAGAACAGCCGCGACCCCCGCAGGACGCCGACCGGGGCCCACGCCCGCAGGCGCCGCTCCGAGCGGACCCCAGGGCCTCTCCCTGCGCGCGAGCGGCGTCCGCGGGGAGGCGCGCCCGGGAGGGGTCGGCGTCGGCGCGCGGGGCAGGCGCGGCGGTTCGCTCTCCTCAGCCTGTGCCTGTGGGGTCGGCGGGCCGGTCGCCAGGGGGCGCCTCGTGCATCCAGGCACTCGGTGGGCCCCGAGCCATCGTGGAGGCGCCCGGGGTCGGCACAGCGAGGCTGACGGGACTGACAGGCCACGCGGCGCCGGGGAGCAGGCTCGGGTGACCGGGCGCGGGCCGTGCTGCCCCCCGCGTTCCGCAGGCGGGGACGGGCGACGGGCCCTAGGGGGCTGCAGGGAGGCCGCCGCGTGGACTGAGAGCCACGGCCCGGGAGCCAGACTCCCTCCCGGGACGGGGCGCCACGACGCGCGGGCACCCATGTCCTACCCGGTGGCCTCGCGCTGCGGGCTGCGCGGGGGGAAGACGGCGCCCCGCGGCCCCTCACCACGCAGGGGGAAGACCGCACCCCGCGGCCCCTCAGCGTGAGCTTCCCGCCCGCGCCGCCGGCCCGACGCTGCCCCCTGGCGGGAGAGCGCTGCAGGAGCCCCGGCGAGGCCGAGCCGCAGGGCCAGACCTCCCCGCCGCCCCCGACCCCGACGCTGCTCCCCAGGGTCGGGAGCCCGATCCTCCTCCATGCCCCATAGCAACCCTCACATTAAAAACGACGAGTTTATTGAGATATGAGGTATGATATACCTACGATAAATACCAGAAAATTTAAGTACAGTACATGGAAATATGCAGTTCTATGAATTTTTTCTGTTATTTTTCAGAGACAGGGTCTGTGTCGCCCAGGCTGGAGTGCAGTGGCACGATCTCGGCTCACTGCAGCCTTGAACTTCTGGGCTCCAGCGATCCTCCTGCCTCAGCCTCCCGAGTATCTGGGACCACAGGCCCCGCCACCATGCCCGGCCCAGTTCCATGACTTTTGACACATGAAACCACTAGGCTAGCCTCCCCCCAGCTTAAGACGTCCTCTCCTCCCGAAAGTACCCTCCTGCCCCTTTGCAGCTAATCCGTCACCTCCCTTCGACCCTGGCTCCAGACAACTGCTCATCTGATTTCCGTCACTGCCCTTTGCCTTTGACAGAATTGCACACAAGGAGAACCATTCACTGTGTGGTCTTTTGTACCTGGCTTTCTTCGCTTAGCACAATGCAGCTGAGAGTCACCCATGTGGCATGTGTGTGTTGTATTTTCCTCTGCGTTAGTCTTGAGGCCTCCCTGGAGAGCCGCTGTAAAGGCCGACTGTGCCCCGACGGGCTCCTGGGATTTGGTCGTGGGTGTTTGCAGTGGGCCTTTCATGGGGCACCTCTGTATCCTGGCTGACCTGTGACCAGGTGTCCCTCTCCCAGGAGACATATTTATCCTGGCAGATCCCCTTGTGGTTCTTGTCTGAACTTTATTCCTACTTTATTCCTACCAAGATAGCTGCTGTCTAGGAAAAGTCCTGACTAGGGAAAACGTTAGGTTTGAGCGTCTCAGTCAGGGACGACACACAGCAGGCAACACAACGAAACACAGGAACTACAGAAGCGGTCTATTACTTACCCACAGAGGGAGAGGGCACACTGAGGGCCATCGGGAAGGTCTTGGGGACACTGTACACAATCGTCGTTGGGGGCAGCCAGAGAGAGACGCACCTGTGGGCTGAGGCTTTTATTGGAACCCAGGGCATTACTCAAGCAGTTTTCCAAGGGGCGCTCTAATTGGTTCACCTGGAGCCAGCAGACTGGAGTCCCGTGGGGCCACCTTGTGACTTAGGAGTGGCCACTGGGGCATATCTGCATAGTCCATGCAGGGTGTGGGCGTCAGTGGGGTGAGTCTAGTAGGTTGTATGTATCTGTCCCACAGGGAGGCAGTTCCCCGTAGGTGGCTACGTAGGACCAGATATCCGAATGGAATGTGTTGAGGAACTGGGAGGAGGCAGAGAGCTGGAAACGGTATCCAAGGTGACTAAGCCATGCTTCTAGTATGAAATTGTTAACCCTATACTCAAAATGGACACTGAAGCAACCTAAAATTTCAAGTATTTACTAGAGTGTGTATCAAGTTCCCTCCTTATCACTGGTGAGTAATATTCCATTGTATGGATATACCACAGGCTGTTTGTCCATTCGGACATTGATGGATGGACTAAAGCTGGCCAAGCTGGGCTGGTGGGGAGGCCTCCTCTCAGGGTCCCAAAGGAGGATGCGGAGGCTGTTGTTGGATATCTGGGTTGTTTCCAGTTTGAAGGCATTGCAAATAAAACTGACTTAAGCCTTCCTAGAAAGGTTTTGGGATATACATATATTTCATTCCTCTTGGGTAAAAATGCCTGGAAGTAGGTGTGATGGCTTGGTTGCATGGTGAGTCTTTTTTTTTTTTTTTTTTTTTTTGAGATGGAGTCTCACTCTGTGGCCCAGGCTGGAGTACAGTGGCACAATCTCAGCTCACTGTAACCTCCACCTCCTGGGTTTAAGCGATTCTCCTGCCTCAGCCTCTTGAGTAGCTGGGATTACAGGCACGTGCCACCACCCCTGGCTAATTTCTGTATTTTTAGTAGAGACGGGGTTTCACCATGTTGGTCAGGCTGGTCTTGAACTCCTGACCTCGTGATCCATCCGCCTCGGCCTCCCAAAGTGCTGGGATTGCCTTGGCCTCCCAAAGTGCTGGGATTACAGGCGTGAGCCACCGCACCCGACTGCCTGGTGAGAAATTGTTTTTCAAAGTGGTCATGTTATTTTACATTACCACCAGCAATGTATGAGAGCCCATAGCAGTCTATGGTTTGTCTTTTCATTTTCTTTTTTTCCATGAGACCGGGTCTCATGCTGTCTCCCGGGCTGGAGTGCGGTGGTATAATTGTAGCTAAATGCAACCTGGAACTCTTGGGCTCAAGTGATCCTCCCACCTCAGCCTCCTGAGTAGCTGAAATGATAGGCATATGCCACCATACCTGGCTAATTATTTTTATTTCCATTTTTTATTTTTAGTAGAGATGAGGGCTCCCTCTGTTGCTCAGGCTGGTCTTGAACTCCTGGGCTCAAGTGATCCTACTGCCTCAGCTTCCCAGAATGCTGGGAATATGGGTGTGAGCCACCACACCACCTGTTTTTTCATTTTCCTAATTTATGTTTCAAAGAGCCAAAGTTTCTAATTGTGACAGCATCCAATTTATTAAACATTTGCCTTGATTGCCTACCTTAAGGTGAGGTTGCAAAGATTTTCTCGTATATTTTCTTCTAGAATTGCATAGTTTTGGCTTTTCGTTTAGGTCTATGATACACTCAAACTAATTTTATGTGTGGTGTGAGGTAAGAATCAAGGGTCTTATTTATTTATTTAAGATGTAGTCTTGCTCTGTTGCCCAGGCAGGAGTGCAGTTGCATGATCTTGGCTCACTGCAACCTCTGCCTCCTGGGTTCAAGTGATTCTCCTGCCTCAGCCTCCCGAGTAGCTGGCATTACAGGCACCCACCACAACACCTGGCTAACTTTTGCATTTTTAGTAGAGACAGGGTTTCAACATGTTGGTCAGGCTGGTCTTGAACTCCTGGCCTCAAGTGATCCACTGGCCTTGGCCTCCCAAAGTGCTGGGATTACTGGCGGGAGCCACTGTGCCCGGCTGAGGCTCATTTTTAGATATAGATCTAGATATCCACTTTTCCAGCACCATTTGTCGAGAAAGCTATCTTCACCTTGACACCTTTGTCGAAAATAACCTGTGGTTAATCTCCTGCTGGCGATAAGCAGGAGGTGCTCCGGGCACCTTGAGAAGGGGCCACCCAATTAATCCAGCCAGGTCTAGTCCAGGAAGCCTTCCCAGGGGGGTGAGAAAGGAATCCAGGCAGAGGGCCTGTTGGTAGCTTAGAGTTGTGTTTTTGTGGATTGTGTAGGTACAGCAGGGTGTGGGGAAGATGTAGGGCTAGAAGTAGGCAGGACCCAGATTGGGGTTAGGCGGGGACCTCACGTGCTTTGCTAAGGAACGCACACTTTATCCTGGGAGCGATGAGGGGCCACTGAAAGGCTTAGGTAGGGAAATAACACAGCCAGATTGGCAGTTTGAAACATTGACTCTGGCTGCAAAGGAAGGACTGAAGGAGGTTAAAATGGAGGCAGACAGGCCAGTAACTGGGAGATGATGGAGGTAGGCTGGCTAGTAACTGGGAGATGATGATAGGAAGGGAAACTTCCTCTGATTATCCTTTTTGTTTTCTTTTTTATTTAGAGGTGGAGTCTCACTAAGTTGCCCAGGCTGGTCTCAAACTCTTGGCCTGAAGCAATCCTCCTGCCTTGGCCTCCCAAAGTGCTGGGATTATAGGCATGAACCACCATGCTTGGTCTATCTTGTTTTAAGCGTTGACTTTTGTATCATGCTTGATAATGACCTATTCTAAATAAATGCCATGGAATTCAGTAGGTGGAAGCCACAGGACTTGGTGACTGTTTTGGAGTGAGACTGACAGCAAGATGTTCTGTTTGGGGGAGTGGTTCTCAGCCTTCTTTCAGACTGGCCATGCTGGACTTCCTGCTAGAGGCTCTGTGTCTGGGGGCCAGCGGGGAGGCCGAGGCCTCTGTGTTTTACAGACCTCCACAGTGGCTTTGGATGTGCAGCCAGCGTTGAGAACCACTGCTCCAAGTTGACAGCAGATCTCACACGTGGCAAATGTGTGGGTGATAGTTCCAGTCTGTAGACTGGGAATATAGGAGGTGGAGCAGATTTAGGGGGATTTTAAATTCGGTTTTAGCTACTTGACACTTTGAGGTGCTGTTGGGAGATTTCCACGCAGAGGAAAGTTGAATGTGTGGGTTTAAAGCTCAGAAGGGAAGTCCGGACTGGGAAGACAGTCTGGTTGGCCATCAGCACACGGAGCAGCGGTTAACCAGGAGCTTGTAAACCCAGGGAGTTACACGGACAGTTTTGTGGGTATGCATACATGTACACTGTTTTTCCTGGGGCAAATAAGGGTTTCTGATTTCACAGGGCCCATGACCCCACAAAAGTTAAGAGCCTCTGATGAGGACAGTGGTTGATCCATGGGACAAAATAAGATTACTGTGGAACCCTGCTGGGGCAAGAAGAGAAAAAGCCCCTTCTTTTCTCTGGCCCAGCTGACAGGTGCCATCTGTGTCCCCTCAGGCCCCTGCCTGCCAGGGATCTATACCTCAGCAACCCTTTGTCACCCTTTGGGTTCTTGTGTTTGATCAAAGTCTTTTCTGCTTTAATTTACATTTTTAACCAGAGTAATATATGTGCACAATTGTGAAAGTTCAGATAGACACACAGAATTTTTTTTTTAGATAGAGTCTCACTCTGTCACCAAGGCTGCAGTGCAGTGGCACCATCTCAGCTCACTGCAACTTCTGCCTCCCGGGTTCAAGCGATTCTCCTGCCTCAGCCTCCCGAATAGCTGGGATTACAGGCACCCGCCTGCCACGCCTGGCTGATTTTTGTATTTTTAGTAGAGACAGGGTTTCACCATGTTGGGCAGCCTGGTCTCAAACTCCTGACCTCAAGTAATCCCACCTGCCTCGGCCTCCCAAAGTGCTGGGACTATAGGCGTGGGTCACTGTGCCCAGCCCACAAAACTTAAAATGAGAAACAACAGCCCCCAATATAAGAGGCTTTCCTTAGTCTGAGATGTAATTGAGTAACTCCAAGGCCTTCTCTGGGTCAGCCTCACTGTAATCTTCCCTAAAATAGTCCAGCCCCGCTTCTTCCTGTCATCAAGTCCTTTCCCCTTCCTTTGTCCCCTCTCACCTTTCATCTTCCTTGTCCTTGTTGTCACCATTGGTAAGCAGGACTGAGCACCCAAAGGTGCCAAGACACTGTAGGAAGCTGGAGGATGGGTGCGGAGCCCATGCTGTAAGCATCTTTGTCTCCCTCTTTCTCTGCCCCAGGCCTGCATGGAGTGGGACAAAGTTCCCAGGCAGAACCAGGCTCAGGAACAGCGGAAGTCCTGGTCTGGCCTTCCTGTGGTTTTCCTAACTCACCAAGTTACAGGTCAGTCAGAACAGCAGCGCTTCTGACCTCGGTGAGGAGCTAGAAGGATCTGGACGGGAAGTCAGAGTCTGGGTAACAGTCCTGGCTCTGCCACCCACTAGATGTGGAACCCCGAGTCAGCTGATTCCTCTCCAGGTGCCTCAGCTTCCCCATCTGCCATATGACCAGTGATCTCTAGGAAGCCACACAGCTCAATGTCTTGGGGGTAAGGCATCTGATATAGCCCCGACCCTCTCAGACCACGATGGTGCCGAGAGTCCCATGGTGTCAGCTCATGGGACATCTGCAAGGACTGGCTATTGTGGCTCCCTCCTAACTCTGCGTTCATGGGGAGTCTTCTGCCCAGAGCCTATATTAGGAGTCCTGGGGGAGGACGCATCCTGCCTGCTTTGCCATTTCCTCAGCCTGACTGGCAAGCAACCTTTTTCCTCCCAGCCTCTACCCCACCTACTGTGTTTCATGGTAGCATGGAATGGTAATGTTTGGACCTTGCCATTCAAAGGATGTGAATTCAAAGATGTGAATCAAAACAGTGAATCAAAATTATACAAATACTGATTAATTTTTAGACAGATAATTTTCCAGAATGAATTTCACAAGGCCAACAATTAATTGCTTGATCAATGTCCTTTATAGCACACAGTTTTCTTTTTTATTTTAATGAACTTTCTTTAAGGCAAGTTTTGAAACTATTACTTTATTTATTTATTTATTTATTTATTTATTTATTTATTTGAGATGGAGTCTCACTCTGTCACCCAGGCTGGAGTGCAGTGGCATGACCTTGGCTCACTGCAACCTCTGCCTCCCAGGTTCAAGCAAGTCTCCTGTCTCAGCCTCCCAGGTAACTGGTGTCTGGCTAATTTTTGTATTTTTAGTAGAGACAAGGTTTCACCATATTGGTCGGGCTGGTCTCAAACTCCTGACCTCAGGTGATCCACCTGCCTCGGCCTCCCAAAGTGCTGGGATTACAGGCGTGAGCCACCGTATCGGGACTGAAACTATTACTTGAATATCCTGCTGTAATGGTTTCACTAACATCCTCTGTTCTTTGGGTTTTGTTTTTTGTTTTTGAGACAGGATCTTGCTCTGTCACCCAGCCTGGAGTGCAGTGGTAAGATCTCAGGTCACTGCAGCCTCGACCTCCTAGGCTCAAGCTATCCTTCCACCTCAGCCTTCCGAGTAGCTGCGACTACAGGCAAGCGCCACCACTCCCGGCTAATTTTTGTATTTTTTTGTACAGATGGGGTCTCACCATGTTGCCCAGGCTGGTCTGGAACTCCTGGGCTCAAGCAATCTGCCCATCTTTGCCTCCCAAAGTGCTGGGATTACAGGCGTGAGCCACCATGCCTGGCTCATCCTCTGTGCTGATGTGACGGGAAGTGCTGAGAAATTCAGGTGTGTGCACCTGGGTCAGTCTTGCCTGGGGACCTCCCAGAGTTCAGCTCTCTGGCTTGGGAGCCTCACCTTCTCCCTCACGTGGAAAGGGAAGCTGCATGTGAAGAGCAGGATTCTGAGCCAGGCTCTGGGTTCAAACCGGGGTCTGCCTCCCTGGGCTGTGTGATTTTGCACCACTTGCTGAAAATCCCCTGAGCCTCATCTTTCTCCCCTCTAAAATGGGAATAATAATAGTACCGCCGGGCGCGGTGGCTCAAGCCTGTAATCCCAGCACTTTGGGAGGCCGAGACGGGCGGATCACGAGGTCAGGAGATTGAGACCATTCTGGCTAACACGGTGAAACCCCGTCTCTACTAAGAAAATACAAAAAAAACTAGCCGGGCGCGGTGGCGGGCGCCTGTAGTCCCAGCTACTCGGGAGGCTGAGGCAGGAGAATGGCATAAACCCGGGAGGTGGAGCTTGCAGTGAGCTGAGATCCGGCCACTGCACTCCAGCCTGGGCCACAGAGCCAGACTCCATCTCAAAAAATAAAAATAAAAATAAAAAAAATAATAATAATAATAATAGTACCTACCTGCTTACCTCAGGAGAGCTGTTTGTATTATATAAGTATGCTTGACTGTTGCCACAAACACAATAATGTTACATAATCACTTGTGTGAAACTTCTATCCCCAGCATGTCACGGAAGCTCCAGAAACGCCACTTACTCTGTCTCTCTCAGCAGCACCATTTAAGAATCAAGCTGTTTTCTTCTTCCGGCACTGGGTGGCACCACAGAACTGGTTCTGTGATTGTTCTGGGCTCAACGGCAGCCTTGGGGTTTGGCTGAACCCTATGATAATGCTGGTTTTCCGTAGGTCAACAACAGCAAATTACCTGCAATTTCATATGATTCTACCTAATACTTGCAGTGCCCCCGCCCTGGGCTGTTTCCCTTCCGCTTCATCTCAGCGAATCACGAACACGTGCCGCGGACTCACCGGCTGGGGCTCCTTGCAAGCCTTTTGGGTTCTCTGTGCAGCCCAGGCTCGCCAGGATCTGGGAGGCCGGACTGTGTTTACGGATGGCCGGAGCGGGCACGAGTCAGCCCAGGAGCCCGCCGGGACTTGCCACTGGAGACCTGGGGCCAAGGGCCCATCCGAGCTGGGAAGAGAGGGCTGGAAAGAGAGCATTAGAATTGAGGGGCCGGGCGCGGAGGCTCACGCCTGTAATCGCAGCACTTTGGGAGGCCGAGGGCGGTGGATCACCTGAGGTTAGGAATTCAAGACCAGCCTGGCCAACACAGTGAAAGCCCGTCTCTACAGAAATTCAAAAAGTAGCCGGGCATGACGGCGTGCACGTGTAGTCCCAGCTCCTCGGGAGGCTGAGGCAGGAGAATCGCTTGAACCCGGGAGGCAGAGGTTGCAGTGAGCCCAGATTGCACGATTGCACCCCACCCTGGGCGATAGAGCGAGACTCTGTCTCAAAAAAATAAAAAATAAAAAATTAAAAAAAAAAAAAAAAAAGAAAGAAAAAGAATTGAAGACAGAGGCTGCAATCACGGGAGTTCGATTTGTAGAAGCAGAAGGCCCCCATTTTGTATTAGTAGACTTTTCCTTGCTGAGCCCAGGAAGCATTTCCCAAGAAACTCCAAAGACTCACCATGCCCCACTGACCCTGACCTTCTGCTCCTTGTGTCTCCTTTCTCAGGAGGGCAGCGCTGGCCTTGGGTCCCCAGCACTGTGAAAGAAATTGAGAAACATTAGAAAGATCTCAGATCATTCCCAGAATTGCCTGGTGAGTCTAATAGCGGTGTTGACGCACCTGAAGGCTGGAGGGGGCCCCAAGCCCTATAGCTGTCCGCCTGAGGCCGCTCCTCAGACAAACAGTCCCTGGGCTGAACTGAAGCTAAGCTCTGCGTTTGCAGGAAGGTTCCTGTGGGTGCTCTGCCTGTGTCTTTCTAGCTGGAAGGTCCCAGGGTTTTCCGTATGTGGAGGGACTTGGGTGTGCCAGAAAAACAGGAGCACTTCATGAGCAGCTTTTTCATATTTGTGCATTTATTTAACATTCTCTTCAGCGATAAGGGCACACACAAGTTGTCACTGTTTTTAAGAATTTAAGGAGATTTTCTTTTCTTTTTGGGACGGAGTCTTACTCTGTCGCCCAGGCTGGAGTGCAGTGGCACAGTCTTGGCTCACTGCAACCTCTTCCTCCTGAGTTTAAGCGATTCTCCTGCCTCAGCCTCCCACGTAGCTGGGATTACAGGCGTGCGCCACCACGCCCAGCTGATTTTTGTATTTTTAGTAGAGACAGGTTTCACCATGTTGGCCAGGCTGGTCTCGAACTTCTGGCCTCAAGTGATCCACCTGACTCAGCCTCCCAATGTGCTGGGATTACAGGTGTGAGCCACTGCACTAGACCTAAGGAGAATTTTTTCTAGAAAGGTTACTTCCTTTTTAGAAATTTAAGAATGGCTTAATATTATGAAATCTATCAATGTGATTGATCATATTAATATTGAGCATATAAAAGAGAAAAATGATGTGATCATCCCCATAGATATTGAAAAATTCAACAGTTTATTTTTGGTAAACACTCTTAATAAAATAGAAATAGGTGTATTTTCTTAATACGAAACAATATACTTATCTCAGTATAAATGCCAGCATCATACTTAATGGGGACACAATAAAAGTTCTCCCAAACTTGAAATCAAGAACAAAAGAGGTTTATCCATTTTTACAGCTATTACTTAGTATTTTTCTGGATGTGTTAGCCAATATAATTTGACAAGAGGTAGAATATAGAGATAGAGAAATCGGAATGGAGGAAAAATTATTATTTTCAGATCAAAATAGCTGTATACTTGGAAAACACAAAGGATTTTATTCAGAAATTACACACCAAATGCTGGTGAGGATGAAAAGCAATAGGAAGGACCACTGATTGTTGGTGGGAATGCAAAATGGTATACAGCCAGTTTGGGAGAGAGCCGGCAGTTCCTCACAAAACTAAACATGCTCTTACCACACAATCCAGCAGTTGAGCTCCTTGATATTTATCCAAATGAACTGAAAACTCAGATCTACACAAAAGCCTGTACATGAACGTTTACAGCAACTTTAACCATAATCACCAAAACCTGGTCGCAACCAAGCTGTTCTTCAGTAGGTGAATGCATGGACTCTGGTGCACTCCGACTGTGGAATATGACTCAGCAGTAAAGCAACCAAGCTGGGCCGGGCGCAGTGGCTCACGCCTGTAATCCCAGCACTTTGGGAGGCCGAGGCGGGTGGATCACCTGAGGTCAGGAGTTCGAGACCAGCCTGACCAACATGGAGAAACCTCGTCTCTACTAAAAATACAAAATTAGCTGGGCGTGGTGGCGCATGCCTATAATTCCAGCTACTAGGGAGGCTGAGGCAGGAGAATTGCTTGAGCCTGGGAGGCGGAGGTTGTGGTGAGCCGAGATCGTGCCATTGCACTCCAGCCTGGGCAACAAGAGTGAAACTCCGCCTCAAAAAAAAAAAAAAAAAAAAAAAAAAAAAAAAAAAAAAAAAAAAAAAAGCAACCAAGCTGTGCTTCAGTAGGTGAATGCACGGACTCTGGTGCACTCCGACTGTGGAATATGACTCAGCACTAAAGCAACCAAGCTGTGCTTCAGTAGGTGAATGCATGGACTGTGGTGCACTCCGACTGTGGAATATGACTCAGCACTAAAAAGAAATAAGCTTTCAAGCTGCAAACAGACATGGAGGAATCTTAAACACGTATTACTAAACTGAAAAAAGCCCATCTGAAAAGGTTATATACTATGCGATTCCAACAATACGACATTCTGGAAAAAGCAAAACTATGGAGACAGTAAAAAGATCAGTGCTTGTCAGGGGTTGCGGGATAGAGGATGAATAGGTAGGGCACACAAGATTTTCAGGAAAGTGAAGCCATCCTATATGATACTACAGAGGTAGATGTTAGGACACGTCTCAACCCATGGAATGGGCAACACCAAGACTCAACCCTAACGTGAACTGTGGACTTCGGTTGACAACGATGTGTCAGTGTAGGCTCATCGGCCGTAACAAATGTACCCCTCTGGTGCAGGATGGCGGTGGGAGGTGGTGTGTGTGGTGAGGGTTTGGGGGCATGTGGGAAATCTCTGTGCTTTCCACTTAGTTTTCCTGTGAACCTAAAGTTGCTCCAAAAAAATAAAATCTAGCTGGACGCGGTGGCTCATGTCTGTAATCCCAGCACTTTGGGAGGCCGAGGTGGGTGGATTGGTTGGGTCATGAGTTCAAGACCCGTGTGGCCAATGTGGTGAAACCCCATCTTTACTAAATATGCAAAAATTAGCCAGGCGTGGTGGTGCATGCCTGTAATCCCAGCTACTCGGGAGGCTGAGGCAGGAGAATCACTTGAAACCAGGAGGTGGAGATTGCAGTGGGCCGAGATCACACCACTGCACTCCAGCCTGGCAACAGAGTGAGACTCCATCTCAAAAATAAATAAATAAATAAATAAGTAAATAAATAAATAAAATCTATTAATTAAAAAAGTGTTACAAACCACAGAATAATTTAGTAAAGTGTCTAGTTTGATATTAATATTCAGAAACTATAGACTTCACATGAATAAACAACAACTAGTTATTAATAGAAAAACTAATGGAAGAAAGTTCATTTAAGTCCATTTACAAAAACAACAACAGCAAAAGCAACAAACAATGATGACACAAAATGAAACAATTTGGAACAAACTTAAGGAGATACATGAAACATTTATGATTTAAATTTTAAAATTCTAAAAGATACAAAAGATGATTTAAATATATAGAAAGACATACCACATGCTAATTTTTATTTATATATTTATTTTAGAGACAGGGTCTTGCTCCATTGCCCAGGCTGGAGTGCAGTGGCACAATCTCGGCTCTCTGCAGCCTTGACCTCCTGGGCTCAAGTGATCCTCCCACCTCAGCCTCCTGAGTAACTGGGGCTACAGGTGCACACCACCGTGCCTGGCTATTTTATTAAAAAAATTTTTCGTGGAGGGGGGTTTTGCCATGTTGCCCAGGCTGGTCTCAAACTCCTGTGCTCAAGCAATCCACCCACCTTAGCCTCCCAAAGTGCCAGGATTGCAGACATGAGCCACCGTGCCCAGCTGAAATACCATTTTCAATGATTGGTTTAGTAAAAATCACACTGTCAGAGAGATGGGGAAATGAGTACTTTCTTATGTTGCTAGTGACTGTAAACTGGTAAAGCTTCTGAGTATAGCAATTTGATGATATCTATAAATACAATTACTATAATTTTTAAAGACAATGTTAGAATTTACATACATTATTTCCATTTACTCAGCATTCTTTTATCCTGTATCTTAAGTTGCTCTTCTGAGATCAATTTTTTTCTTTCATTAGTTCAACTTTCTTGATGACAAACTTCCCATTTTTGCCACCCTCAATCTTGAAAGATAGTCTCTCAGGGTTCATCATTCTAGGTTGACAGTTATTTTCTGTCAATATTCGCAAGACTGTATTCACTATCTTCTGACTTCTATTGTGTCTGCTGAGAAGTTGGCTGTCTCTCTAACTGTTAACCTTTGTGAGTGACTCATCCTTTCTCTCTGGTTGTCTTTAAGATCTTATCTTTGTCGTTTGCATTTTCAGTTTTACCAAGATGTGTCTAGGTAAGGATTTATTTTTACTTACCCTGCTTGGGATGCATTTTTGTTCCTAGACTTCTGATATGTTTTTCACAAGTTCTGAAAATGTCATGGCCATTATCTCTGTGAATATTTTATTTCCCTCATTCTCTCTGTGTTACATTTTTGAGGACCTGGCTACACATATACATGCATCTTCACACACACACATTCTCACTTGTGCTTCCTTTATATTTTTCTTCTGTTTGTCTTTCAGGGTTACAACTTTGGTAGCTTGTTAACTCCCAGTTCCCTAATTGGTATTTTAAGATTTATATGTTTCATTTCAAATGTTTTTTAAATCTATCTGTTCATTCCTGATAATCTCTTGTTGCCTCCTCACACATACATGCAAGCATGTATTTTTTATACATAGATGTGTCTTAACATTTTTATTTGGAAGAAACTTTAGATTTGTGGGAGAATTGTAAAAGTAAGATAGGTAGTACAGATTTCCTTCATGTTAACATCTTATATATCCACAATATATTTACCAAAACTGAGAAATTAACATTGCTATAACATTACTAACTAAACTGAAGACTTTATTTGGATTTCTCCGGTTTTTCCACGAATGCTCAATTCTGTTCCAGGACCCCAGCCAGGACACTGTGATGTTCTCAGTCACCATGACCCCTAAGAGCCCCCTCTTCAATGGTGCACTTTGCAGGGCTCTAAAACACACTTTCAAACCAGCAGAAGGAAAGGGAAAAACGTTAACAAAACATATGGTAAATGGGATATATAAAATAAGATACAAATAAGTCCTAAAGTAACAGTATTTATAACGATAAATAAAATATCAGTAGCTAAATAAAAAGGCAGAAAATATCTAGGCAGAAAGTCTTAGTCTTGATACTCAGAACTATGAGCAATATACTTAAAAGGATAGAGAAAGACTGAAAAGAAACAGAGAGAATAATGATATAGCAGGCAAATATGAACCAAAGAAAGAGTAGTGATATTAACAGCTAACAAAACATAATTGAAGGCAAAACCATCATATTATCAAAGAGGGATATAGCATATGATAAAATGGACACACACACACACACACACACACACACACACACACAATAGTCTTGAAAAAACTATAAGCAACAGCTGGCAGAACCGTAGGAAGAAACAGCTCAACAATTGTAGTTGGAGATCTTAATGAAGCCACCTTCTCAGGAAGAGATAGTTCCATAGAAAAAGCAAGCGAAGGCGTAGATGATTAGATTAATTTAGTTCCTAACTTAAGAGTAAAGGTGTATCGGGGCTGGGCGCGGTGGCTCATGCCTGTAATGCCAACACTTTAGGAGGCCAAGGCGGGTGGATCACCTGAGGTCAGAAGTTTCAGAATAGCCTGACCAAGATGGAGAAGCCCTGCCTCTACTAAAAACACCAAAAAATTAGCCGGGCATGGGGGTGGGTGCCTGTAATCCCAGCTACTCCGGAGGCTGAGGCACGAGAATTGCTTGAGCACAGAGGTGGAGGTTGCAGTGAGCCAAGATGGCGCCACCACACTCCAGCCTGGGCAGCAGAACGAGACTCAAAAAAAAAAAAAAAAAAAAAGAGTGCAGGTGTATCAAGAAATGGTGCTACCTGTTTGTCTGTCTCCCAGATATGGAAGCCAGGATGGAATCCTCTATGAATTAGAAACACATACTGAAGAATGAATAGTTTTTAAAACGTAAGTGAACAATAAAGTGAGAAAGAGAATGCAATTTATTAGCACAGGACAGTGTATATTAAAGACACACATACAAAAATATGCATTTGACAAAGATGCAAGGATACACATCAGACACATTGCAATGGATGGCCACGGTGGGGCGAGAGGGAGGTGGGGACAGGAATTGGGCCCAGAGATGAAGGGGGGAAGAGGAATGAAACAGGAGAAGGGCCTTGAGCTGATGCTGGCAATAAACCCTGAACTGAGGTGGATGATGAGCCCAGCCCTGTACACACTGTCCAGTCCCAGGCGTGATTACAATCTTTCCTATCAGCAGAAAGGCTTGTGCCTGTGACCGTAGGTGTCATGTGACCAGGGGGCAGCAGGTTCTCCCTGGAAAATCACAGGCGGGGGCCCGAAGACAGGTCTGGAGGCAGCCACCGCACATTCCTGCCAGGAGCGCAGCGTCAGCGGCCCTCCCAGCCCAGACAAAGTCCCCTCAAAGTTGGCCTCTCTGTCTTGGGGGAAGCACAGCATACTGGCCACAGCTTAGCTTGAGTTTCTGGATTTCTCAAGCAACAAGCTTGAAATGCCCAAGAGCAAAGTTCTCCAGGCTGGTCCCAAGGCTGGGCGATGTCTGTCTTTCCAGCTCCCTTTCCCATCTCACCTCCTGCTCCCAGAGGAACGTCTGTGTTGGGAGCAAGCAAAGCCCAGGGATGGGCCACAGGAAATCTCAGAGAGTAATGGTCCCGAATGACAACCTTCAGAGCATCAAGGAGTTTTTTTAAAATGTAAAGTTACCTAAGGACCTGGATAGACATTTTTCCAAAGAAGATATTCAAATGGCCAATAAGTACATGACAAGATGCCCAACATCATTAATCACTAAGGAAATGCAAATCCAAAGCACAACGAAACACCACTTCACACCCACTAGGATGACTTTTATAAAACAGAAAATAAGTGTTAGGATGTGAAGAAATGGGAACTCTTGTGCCCTGTTGGTAGGAATGTCAAATGGCACCACTACTGTGGAAAACAGTATGATGACTCCCCCCAGATTAAACACAGACTTTCCACAGGATGCAGCAATCCCACTTCTGGGTATATAGACAAAGGACTTGAAAGCAGGGACTCAAACAGAGATGTGTATACTCATGTACATAGCAGCATTGAAAAGATGGAAGCAACTGGCCGGGCGCGGTGGCTCAAGCCTGTAATCCTAGCACTTTGGGAAGCCAAGGCGGATGGATCACGAGGTCAGGAGATGGAGACCATCCTGGCTAACACGGTGAAACCCCGACTCTACTAAAAATACAAAAGAAAACTTAGCCGGGCGTGGTGGGGGCACCTGTAGTCCCAGCTACTCGGGAGGCTGAGGCGGGAGAATGGCGTGAACCCGGGAGGCGGAGCTTGCAGTGAGCTGAGATCCGGCCACTGCAGTCCAGCCTGGGTGACAGAGCCAGACTCTGTCTCAAAAAAAAAAAAAAAGATGGAAGCAACCCAAGTGCCCATTGATGGATGAATGCAAACCCAAAATATATAGACTACATATACAGGAATATTATATATGTTATATAATATATAATATTATATAACATATAAATTATATAAAATATATGAATAAATATTATAAAATATTATAAAATATTATATATTATGTTTATATAATATATATTTTAAGGCTGTAAAATATTCTTATACAATATAATATGTAGAAATATAACATTATATATTATATATTATTTATATATTATATATTATATCTATTATATATTATATTATATATCTACATGTATTGTATAGGAATATTATACAGTCTTAAAAAGGAAGGACATTCTTTTTTTTTTTAGAAACTGATGTTTATTTTCCATCAACCTTATCTCCATGTTGCTGAAGAGCCCATGCAGGAACAGCTTAGGACCATTCAGTGGTTGCTCCTACCCATTCAGTGGCCTGAAGTCAGTGGTCTGAGCAGTGGGAGCTGCAGACCAGTCTTCTGTGGCAGGCTGAGCGTGCCAGTCTTCAGTAGGGAACTGTTGAATAGGCACAGAGGGCACCTGCACGCCGTCAGGCCAGTCTGCAACCTCAGGCTGAGCAGCCGTGAACTCGGGAGCTGGAGCATCCATTCACCCTGAAATTCCTCCTTGAATTCCACCCTGAAATTGCTCCTTTCAGCAGCAGCCTGCTCTTTTTCAAGCTCTTCAGGATCTCTGTAGAAGTAGAGATCAGGCATGACCTCCCACGCATGTTCGAGGGAAATGGTACCACGCATGCACAGAACTTCCCGAGCCAGCATCCACCACATCTGACCCACTGAGGGAGCTCCCTTGTTGCATGGGATGGCAATGTCCACATCGCGCAGAGGAGAATCTGTGTTACGAGCAATGGTGGGTAGGTTAACATAAGATGCCTCCGTGAGAGGCTGTGGTCAGCCCTGGGGTCAGTAACCACCAGAAGCCGTGGCTCCCGGAAGGTTGCCTGGATCTGGTTAGTGAAGGTTCTAGGAGTGAAGCTGCCAGCAATTGGAGTGGCTCCAGTGGCAGCAGCAAACTTCAGCACAGTCCTCTGGCCAGTATTCCTGGAGGACATAACCCTCACATCAGCAGGGTTTTCAACGGCAACAATGGCACGAGCCGCCAGCAGAAGCTTCTCCCAGGTCCTCTTCAGATTTAGGATGTAGATGCCATCACTTTTCCTTTTCTAGATGTACTGTTCCATCTGGAAGTCAAGATTGGTGCCACCTAAGTGGGTTCCTGCTGCAAGGAACTTAAGGACATCCCCCTTCTTCATTTGAAGGACATCAAGGGCTCCGGACATTGTGAAAATTTCCTTTAAGTTACGATGGGAATCCAGAACAACGCCGGATGGACCCCTCTGCAGGTAGCGCAGAAAGGCAAAAGGAATGAAATTCTGATACACGCTACAACATAGATGACACGTGAAGGCTGAGTTTCAAGCAGAATAAGCCAGTCGCTAAAGGACAAATACAGTATGTATATCCCACTTATATGAAGTGCCTAAAAGGACCAAGTTCATAAAGGCAGGAAGTAGAATGGTGGTTGCCAGGGGCTGAGGGGCTGGGGAAATGAGTCTGTGTTTAATGGGCCAGAGTTTCAGTTGGGGATAAAAGGGTTCTGGAGACGGATGGGGGGCAATGACTACACAACAGTGTCAAAGCCACAGAACTGTACACTTACAACGCTGAAAATGGTGTCTTTTATCACAATTTTTAAAAAGTTGCCTAAGAAGAGACTAAGCAAAGCAGATGCATTTCAAAGCAACCCCCACTCCTCTCCTTGGTGAAGTCTCAGACAGAACTTGAAGCTGGAGCAGAAAGAAAGGAAGCCCGGCTCTTAATAAGTTCTTAGCCTCTAATGGAAGTGAAACGGGAGTCGAGTGAGGTCTCACGCGCCTGGAGTCCTGAGGCCGTCCTGGGCGAGGGCGGATCCTGTTGTCTGCTGCTGAGCAGGATCCTGCTCCCCCGTCTTTCTGCAGGGGGCCAGGCCTGGAAACAGGGGTGCATGTGCTTACCCTTGTGTACACGCATCCGTCACATCCACATGGGGACCTGCCCGTGTGTTTAGAATATGTTACACCATTCTCCGTGCCTTAGTATCTGGGCAGGTGGCCCTAGTTTTCCCTTCAAGTCACCCCTTCCTAGCCAGTCCCATGCTCTGCTGCAGGGCCAAAGACCCCTCAGGCAGCAGGGCCAATGGCAGGACAGGCCTTTAGGCAGAATGGCTGTCTGCTCTAGGTTACCCCCAGCAAGAGGGGGCGGGCCTCACGCCCTGACCAAGGCTTAGATGAGCAGCCAGTGTGGGCTGAAGTTTTACTGTGGAATTCTGTCCTCTCAACGATAAGTGCAGTCCCAGCCTGTCTCCAGCTCTGGTGTGGCCAGCACTTTTGTTATCAGTGATGAGCTCTGCTCTGACAAACGCTGACCAGCCTCCTGCTCCTGGGGCCACCTGGCCAGTGTCCTTGAGATGATTGTCAGAACTGGAGCAGACGCGATAAAGGCAATTGCACCTGGACTTTGGTTCGAGTGTCCTGGAGGCTGCAGGCAGGTGGTCCAGCCAGGCCTGTGGCACACAGGCTTCCCAGCCAGGCCTGGTGGAGACTCACCACTACCACCCGCTGGGGCTGGCTGTGCCTGTGTTCAAATCCAAGCGAGTTCCTCAGTTCCTCACTCTCACAGCCTCACCTCCCAGTCCTGTAGAATGGGGATAATGCAGATAGCTCCCCTGTGGGGAGCTGGGAGGGATAAGAGGAGGTCACACCTAAGGTTGGCAATTGATTGTCAAAATGCAACATTCCTGGGAAATCTGGGGCCCTTTTGCTTCCTTTCCAGCCCACGATGGGTGGTCTGGGTTCTAGGAAACAGCAACAGCAAGAGCTGGAAAGGGAGGAAAGGAAGAGAGAAAGCAGAGTGAATGAGTGCGGGTTGGGCATGAGCTCACCCCAGTGGCACTAAGCCTGGTGCCCAGAGCCTGGTATTGGGAAAGCCAGCTTCTTCTTCCTCCCAGAGGTACCAAAACTAGCACCAGAGAGAACTCTGAGCCTGTCTGGCTGCAGGTAAGACCCGTCCTTCACCTCTTCACCAAGGGAAGTTAAGCAGAGGGTCAGGGCACGCCTTGGAGCTGCGATAGTGCTGCCTGACGGTTTGATCTCTCTGGGTTGGTGTCATCTGGGCATCATCTTCATCGTCTTCATATTTTAGCATTGGTGAGGGTGTACACAGGAACAAGGTGGGGGGCAGCAGAGAGCCTATGGGGTGTTCTGTGCCCAGCCCTGACCAACAGAACAATCATTAGCTGCTATGGGTTGAGTGGTGTCCCTCCCAAATTCCTGTGTTGAGGTTCTAACCCCACCCACTGCCTCGAAATGGGACATTATTTGAAAACAGGGTTGTTTGAGATGTCATTAGTTAAGATGAGGTCATTAGGATGGGCCTTAATCCAGTATGACTGATGTCCTCCTAAAACGGGGAAATTTGGACACAGACGCACGAAGAGTGCCGTGTGAAGACAGAGGCCGAGTGTGGGTGGTGCCTCTGTAGGCCAAGGAACCAGCCCTGCTGACATCTTAGTGTCAGACGCCCGGCCTCCAGGACCGTGGGACGATACACTTCTGTCACGTAAAAGCTGCTCAGGTTGTGGTACCTTGTTACGGCAGCCCTGGCAAACCAACACATATGCCCGGGGAAAGGGGTCAGCCTCCGGACCAGGGGTAGATACTGGCCAGCCCTGATGCCAACAGTGATTCTTTTTAAAATCAGCTCTGCACTCTACGAGTTGCCAGGGAGGACCAAGCTCCTCAGTATTCCTGGAACTCCCCTGGGACCAGTCCAACTTCCAGGAGGCAAAACTAATGTCTCATCTCAGTCATGCGTTCAGGAAACACTGTCTGGGCAACAGCTCTGTGGCAGGTGAGGCTGGGCACCGGGAATGTACTGGGCAGGGGGCCGGCTCTGTCCCTGCCCTTAAAGGGCTCGCTGGCAGCCTGGAAGGGAGACAGGCACTTCCCAAATACAGGCT